AAAATACAACAAAAAATAATAATTTGAAAAATGATTCCAATTTGGGTATAGGGAACTTTATGCATAGAGAACACAACGTGACGAGAACGCAAATGATTTTCAAAATTCATATCCGAAAGGTACTGCTTCCTGTCTAAATCACAGTCAGACAAACCCTGTTGTGTTACCAATACATACATGGAATTAACACCAGCCAACTCGCTGTCAAGATATTGTGGTGTAAATATTTCTAACGTGGCAATGATATGAATAACAATGTGTGCGATATGAAATTCAAAGCCTAGAGATGCAACAGAAATTGGTCGTACATTGGATTATGAGCTGTCTGTTAACGAGACAAAGCCAGACGGTTGTGTCTGCAGTGTCATCGGGTAGAGATCAATACAAAAGGTTACGAAGATAGATTGCTATACCATCGACCCGGGGGCAAAAGGACACCTCTGAAGTGGTCACGGCTGATGGATCACAGGTCAAGCGCCTGTCACTGGTCAGTGCCCAGTGACGTAAACAGTATGTAAGACCTTACGTAGACGTTGCGTGTCTCTCACTACAGAACAATAAAATCCAAATGAATACCTATCAATCACTGATGTGAGAACTATGAATGCTCTGATGAATTTGCTGTGTCAGCAGTATTTCAAATAGCGTCTTTCACGCGAAGCAGGTTAAGTTTGTACCTACGTAATGTCACCTCAATATTGATTCTTACGATACAGTAGTCGTACCGTTCTAACACGCTTGCTGAATAATATATAGTACAGCGGGTACTCTTTATATTAAGTTAATTGCTTAGCAGGCATAACGCCAAGGAGTATACCAAGCATTGCGTTTGGGTGAGGGGAGGTGAAATGGAGTTTAACGTCGCGTCCAAGAGTATATAGCGACGTGCATACACGACGTGCGCGTGCGTGCGTGTGTGTGTGCGTGCGCGCGCGCGTGCGTGCGTGTGTGTGTGTGTGTGTGTGCGTGCGTGTGACCGGAGAGCGTCCGCCCGGAGTTTGATCCCCGGCCGCGTCATACCAAAAGACGATACAAGATGGTACTTGTTGTTACCCTGTCTGGCGCTCGGCATTAAGGGGCTAAAACAAGGACTGATCGGCTCGGAGTCAGTATACTGTGTCTGAGTGGGGTATTCTTGTTAAACTGCGACATGGTACCCTAGTTAGCTTACACTATAAAATCGGACTAGAACAAGCAGCCATACACACACACACGTGCATGCACGTCGCTATAAAAATGCAACCGTGTACGCGACGTCTATCCCAATTTCACCTCACCTCACCTCAAATAGCATCGTTCTCCAAATGCAGTGTATCTACCTATGGTCAACTTCATAAATGAGAGATGGCACGGTGTGGTGGTCATTATTGATAAACAGACCATCGCTTGTGGATTACAAGCCAGTTGTTTTGTTCGCCTTGGGTCAATAAAACTGGGACGTCCCCCAAAATTTGAAGACCATGTCCTTTAACACTTTCATTTGTAGATCTGTTCTTGACCGCCGCCGTAACAAGATGTTGACACAGTAAACACGTCGTGATAGCCATTGTCAGCTTTGCGGTGGGTAGTTGACTACATCTCATTGAAAAGGGATATATGTCAAGTGGTATTCGCGTTATCAGTAATGACAATGTATGCACAGCTTGGAATTTAATCCAAACACAAGTACATTTTTTGTGACGACGAGTTATATATTTTAATGTTCATTCCAATCGAGACATTGTAAATTTAATTCAACACAAGTAGTCAAAGGTGGTTAAACTACCCAAACAGCACATTCCAAAGAAACTCGTGGCTGTCATAAATTTCCCTTCATTTTTTATTATTATACTTTCAGACACTATAGATTGCTATCGGAATCCCGTGTTAGGATGTATCTACGATTAGAGCAGCGTCCCTCTAGAAACTGACACAATGGCGCCGCGTTAGAGATGAAGTCAGTGATGAAATATATATATAAGTTTTGGCTTCTATCCTCGAGAGGACCGCCTCCGTGGTCTAGTTGTAGAGCCCGAGGTTCGATCCCCGGCCGCGTCATTCCTAAAACGTTAAAAGATAGTACTTGTTGTTACCCTGTATGGCGCTCGGCATTAAAGGGCTAAACAAGGACTGTTCGGCTCGGAGTGGGGTATTCATGTTAAAATGAATGGTAGCTTAGTGGGTTGGCACTATAAATCGGCATCAGTCCGGACAAGCACACACACACACACACACACACACACACACACACACACACACACACACACACGCTAAGTGCAATAATCTTGACGCGACGTTAAACCCCGTTTCACCTCACCTCTAGCCTCAGAAAAGATTGAGTAGGGTTTCTTTAAACCTCAGACCATACTGATACTGTAACGATTACTTAATGATCACTTGCGACAAAGAACACGTTTGAGGTATTTCTGGAACTATGTATTTCCATCGACTCTTGGGCAAGGTAATCCCAGTGCAATACACAAGATAATCTATACTGTTTTTTTCCGCTTGATGGATGTCGAATCAATCCTATCTCCAAGTCCCACGACTAAGCCTCTTGTGCATGTATATGTCTTGAACGTAGGCCAAGTCTAAGCGATAATACCACAGCAGCTTCTTTACACAGATGAAATGAAGTATAGATTGTTCCTGAGGCAAATTGAACTTGGCTAGACCATGGTGATGAAATTGAAGATTTATTGAACGATTTCCATACACCGTAACAAATTGACTCAGCTACTTGGCGTTACTTGTGAAACATCCATTCCTGCCAGACGTTGTCACACGTTAAGTTGTCAGCGTAAATGAAATTTGTTCCCTCATATATACGGTGATAAGTGTATTATGCCAATCAGCTATACATGAATACGACATTGCCAAACAGACCTACTTCATGTTTTAAGAATACAGCAAGCCACAGTAGACAAGTGTGAATAATGTACGATGTCCAAACCAGTTTTGAAAATTTGGCGCTTTATAAGGCGTTAAAAGGTTTCTTACGTCGTTAATTGAATCTGTTTTCACATAAATCGAGGTCAAGGACACGTTGTTTTATTGCATGAACCATGTATGTACTACGCAACGTAGAGAGCACAGATGGTTTTGTCGTCTAAGGCCCCACTGAGCAGAGTTGAGGCATGTCAGAAACTTATGATCGTGAGTTCGAATCCCACTTCGTCCCGATCATGTTTCTAGATTTGTCAGCACCATACCCGTGCTCGTGGGTTTCACCGAAGTGGTAAACGTCTGAGATCTGGATCACTTGGGGCTGTCCTCCCACATTAAGCTGGCACGCCGCGATATAACTGGAATACTATTAAAAGCAGCTCACTCACTCACTCCGCAACGTAACATGAACCTTAAGTCATCACTGAAACTTCCCTGTCTTACCCAGTTATTCGTTCAAGTCAAAATGATTTTTCCAATTAACCAAGCTATGTGAATTTGCTGCGACGTGACGGGTCAACTTGTCATTGTGTCGGTTACGGAGAAGTGTCGCGGGATAGAGCTAAGTACACGGAGTCACGTATAGCAAACACAAGGCCCTCTCTTCAGAGTCGGTCGATATGTCTGACTTGTTGAAACGGTAGGTTGCCCTGAAACCTAAAGTACATTCTCAAAGGTCAAGCACAAGGTGACGATGACCCAGACATTGCGATAGTGAAACCGGAATACAAATGTATATGAATTCATTGAAAAATGGAAATAATTCAAATGTATAAGATGTTACGTGGAACATACATTCCGTGTGTTGGAATTTGAATGTTAACGATGTCCTGAATACTAGTGTTTCCGGATACATACCAATCCAATCAGTAACACCTGTCGCTTCCTGATTCAGTCAATACATACCCATGACCATTAATATAAGAACCTATGGCATCATCACAAGCAAATCCTCAACAAACTTAGAACTATTGATCATTCTCACACACCATGCATATATATATATCATATGGTTCGGTTTTACCCAAAAACCGCCATGCTCGATATGAATATCAGTTTAATCGCAAATGGAAAAGAATATTTTCAAACGTCTCACTTACTGAGAGAAATATAATTTGACACGCACACTGCATTCTGTTCTCAGGAGGTATAAATGTTTTATAATGCTATCTACCATTTCGCTCATATTTTCTTGTGGTAATCAAACTCAATCAATAATTCTAATGGTTTATGTGGCATGCGAAAGTTGATCATACAATACCAGTTCGATTTATGGCCTAGCGAATACAATACCGGGTCATTCATTTCCTTATTTATGATGAAATCATTGTACCTTTGGTGCCATGCATGTCAAGTTTTATTGACGTTTTACTTGGAACAATTGAACACTCGTGATATAATAATCGGTTCATGGTTCAATAAAATCCCACATCCATATATGAACATCACTTTTTAATATAAAAAACACCTTTTCATGTATTTCTGTTTGAAGCCTCGTTGTTATGTCGTTTTTGCATATGTGTTATTTTGCACATTAATACAAAATATATACCCATCCTGCTGCTACAAATGTACACTTGCATCCTGTGCAATACATTAACACACCACAATCCAAACTAAAGTTGCACTTGAGAAACATTTGGATCTTTAGTGAAATTGTTTTATAAAGTTCATTGTACAGTAAACTACGTTTATAACGAACACGCTTATAACGAACTGATGGATATAACGAACTTATTTTTACTCCCGACCATTTGTTGTATATATGATGTATGTATGCTTATAACGAACTATGGTTATAACGAACTAAAATTAGTGGTCCCCTCGAGTTCGTTATAACCGTAGTCTATTGTATTTTATTTGCATTCTTTGTCACACTGCTATGTGTTTTGATGCAACCATAGATCCGATACTGCTACTACTGTACGATGGGGTGTTGAATACACACGTGTTGATGAACCATACATGAATGGTTCTCGGGAGGAGAATGCAAAAGCAAAGGCCTCTTCTGTGAGATTAGTGCAGTGTAAGCTGATTTACCAGATCTAGACTGACCTTCTTCTGTTACCTTGCAGACTAGACGAGGCCAAGAGATGGCGCGTCCAAGACAAGGAGATCATCGACAAGCTGAACCAGCAGATGTCGGAGATGGAAAGCGAGATAAGCATGCTCAGGCGATCCAATGACTCCATGGACAAGGAGCGACAGCGCGACAGGGCCACCATCCAGAGACTCAACGAAGAACTGGAGAGACTCAGGATCGTAAGTCATTTCCTCAAATAGGATACTGTCCCAAGCTTGACTGAAGAAATATAGTCTCACTGCAATGTTCGCAGTACACTAGCAAGATCATGACAGGGGTAACCAAAACTGGTCATCACTCATTGTGCATATTTTGGGAATCAAGATTTTTGGGCGTGACGAGTGAACGTTTATCATTATCGCTTCTTGTCTTAAAGCAAACTATTAGAGCTATTAAACATGTTCAGATGACTATCTGGACACCACCTCTGTTACGAATAGAGGAGTTCTTAGTGGCGAAAGTTAATTTGTCTGATCATTAGGACTTTTTTGTATGACACAAACAGCTAAATGATTTAAGACTGTCCTTAAGTTTGCTGACGACTTTGACGCACGGTAGTTGATTACAGTCTGAACTGAAGTGACTTGTATTAGACAGAAATATTTTGACACACAGTGTTGAGCAAACAGAATTGAAGTAAGCATGGGTCATTAATCTCAAAACCGTTTAGATGGATTATCATCTGCCATGAAGAAAATATGACCCTGCCACGAGGAGAGGTACACCCGTGAGTGGTAAAAACCACGCCTCTTCAACTGTATTCGTATCGTGCATAACAAATCCTACATTAACTGTACGCCCTACACTGGTACATCAGTTAATGTTAAGTATTCCTCCAGCATAATGCATGAATAGGAATAGGGGTCTGTTTGTGATGACACAAAACCCCTTAACACGTGGGTAAGTGCATATGAGCAACAAGCAATACCTTGTTATTTCCTGACACATATGGATTGACCCACAGATTGCCCAAATCCTAGTTTATGTCTCAGTGTGTCCATTACCCGTGTCTAGTACACACTGCAGGTACTTGTATAGGCCATATTGAACGTACATATCCCAGATGTTACAATACGCTATCGATTTCCCCTTTTGTCACGGACCACCTGCGCTGCATATGTAACAGAGCGTGAAACTCACTATGGCCGCCACATACAGCCATGAACTAATATAACGTATACCAATCCACAGAAATCTCATTGACAAAAACGTAACATATTTTCTCAGTAGGATGCATATGGGTCGAAGTGTAAGCTAGAGTGAGAACACAAAGCAAATATGTACACTTCTGTTTTGTCCCATGAGTTGCAGTGGGCGTGTATAGTTTAAGACTATGGTACGTCGAGAATGAACGCCACACATTGTTCCCGTGTTGGGAACCGAACCTACTTTTTCGGTATGGCGCGCCAAGACTGCAAACAGCATGTCAGTTATCCTCGCCGTTCATCTAATGTATGAAACGAGTAGAAAATATTCCTTTCACTCGTGTCTCGACATTGTGACGACTGTTGTCAGCTGACTCCAAATGAACTGTTGCCATTTCAACACATCTGCACAAAGAATCGATACTGCATCGGGGCTTCAACGTTTTCGCTCAAAACTCTAAACCAAAGAAAAGAATACTCAGTTATTTTAATTGATGTGACAGCTTTTACGTTTTTAACGGATTTTTAGAGAACGACAGGTGTGACAAGCGATCTGGTGTTTTACAAATGTCCATTCTATCATGTGCTGGTGCATGCTATGAATAGTTACTTGAGGGTCTTATATATCATTTCTCCAAAGACCTTGACTCTACCCATCGGCCAAAAACAAAAAATGTTAATTCTATCATGTGCTGATGCATGCTGTGAATAGTTACTTGAGGTTCTTATATATCATAAGACCAAAGACCTTGACTCTACCCATCGGCCAAAAACATAACTACACAAACCACTTTTTAATCCATACACTTTGCTGAATACAGAATGACAAGCACAAATGTGTAAAAGATAGCATTCCTATCAACAGTACGTCAAGAACTATGTTACCAGAACTACAACAAAATCATTTTATGACTGTAAACCACAAAGAAAATGTATACAAGGTCCAAGCTTGTGTATATACTGTGTTCACATCAGAAAGAATGTGAACGTTCCTTTCATAGATTAACCATAGACGAAAACCATGAATGGTGTTCCTTCAAGTGACAATGATCAGCATGTTATTCCAAGCAATAGATCACAAACATCTAGGTCAATAGCTTTTGGTCGTTTTTGCAACGTCAACACTTCTGATTTAACCCTAAGTCTTACATTGTGGCGTTACTACTCACATGAAAGTCGTCCATGCATGGATACTCATAACCCGTGAAGGGGACAGTTCGTACACCCGAATCTTGCCACGCGTTGAGATGACAAGGCAATAAGTCATATTATAACCATTAAGCAAACATTCAATATGATGATATACAAAATAATGTAATGGCATATACTTTACTTGACTTATTATAATTCAAACAACGTCTGTATTTTCTTCACAACATAATCTTTTCAACACACCTTCTGCTTTGCCACATTTTATTCAAAAACAGGATTCCCCATGCAATTATTCACATTTCAACTGTGAGGCATAATGGTTCTTTATTCTGGTTTGTCAAACAGTGATATGTGATTTTTGGGGATATGAATTATACGGAATAAAACTAGCCTGGTTGCCTTAACCTAGCACTGGATCATGATGACTGAAATGCATTTTATTTACATATTTTCTACAAAATCGCGTTTGATGAGTAACTTTATATGTTTATATTAATAATATGTTATCCTCCTTAGTGATAAGAAATGAATGTGGCTATGCAATTAATTGTCACTCAGATATAAACATGTAATATGCTTTTAGAAATGATGTGTCACTCTGCCCCCACAGACCGTGCATGGAACTGAACAACGACCATAAAGTAATCGTGATTGTTAAGTTTGGGTAGTCCTTGAATGAGAAAAAGTAAAAAATAATTGCGACTGCACTCACACAAAGAGCCAAACGTTCTAAGGTGTCATGACTGCAGAGATTATGAGTTCGTAACCAAGATTGAGTCTGTTCTGACCCTTGGTCTATTTGTTTGTTTTGACCAACTTTTTTAACATCTTCTATCAGATGTCTTTTTAGGCCCCCGTCAGCCTTTCAAAAACTGTCGCAATAATCCTGCAATATAGCTAAAAGCTGAGACCCGTACTCATCCTCTCGTACACCTTACTCCATCAAGCAATGGTTGCCTGTTCAAGCTATGTTACTCCGCGTTGTAGCAAAGCAAAGCTGGCTGTGATGTTCTAACCAATATTAGATTATGATCTAACTTAATATTGCCCTAATGTTATCCGATAATTACAACATGATGTCTTTCAACCAAACCATGGGCATATTGCTCTGGCGATATGCAATTTCCATATTGTGTACACTGCATGAGGTAACCACATTTGCTTACATTGCAGGATCTGAACAACGAGACTCTGGCTCGCATGGAGGCTGACAACAGACGCCAGACTTTGGCAGAGGAGATCGAGTTCCTCAAGGAGGTCCACGAACAGGTCAGTAAAATACTCCCAGAGTACAAGAGTACAGTTCTTGTGGATTCAGGGTGTAAGTTAGGTTCCCAACAACTCCTGCCGGTTGTTTGAGGGACTTAATGGACCCCCCGCAGTCCTTGGTTGATAAAATGTCACCGACTCCCGAAGGCATGGATCGGTGCTCATTATATCAATCACTGGATTGTATTATTATTTACAGGCAGCCGTCATATATATGTGGCGTTAAACAGAACAATATGATTGTGGCGCACAAGAAACAGGACAATACTTTGAAGATTTATCTACAACTAGTTTGGCAAAAGGTTTTCAAATAAATAATTTTTGATGCTGGACAAATGAAACAAACGTGTCAAAATCTGAATTTTCAAGGGATTTGCTTCACTTTGGGAACCGACAAAAACATTTCCAAACTTCCAAAAGAGTTTCTATGATTCATAACATCTAATTTAACATCAAAAGCGATCGCACATTTTTGTCTGAATCAGGCAATAATTAAAGCCATAGCTCACATGACTCGGCATCTTTAATGCATAATATTAGGAAATATGAACCAACGCGGAACCTGATTGTGAGTGATAGTATTAACACCAAGGAACTTAATTCCACACTCCGGCTGTACGGTCTCTGATCACAAACATCTTTAACTCCGGTATCGCGGAAGAATCCATTTTTACGGGAGAGTTAAAGTCTCGCCATCGCTCTCCATGGAGCTGTTTGATGAATCACTTCAGACGTGTTGGGTGAATGCTGCCATCTAGTCGTAAAAGTGGAAACTTTCATCAATTGCTTGAATGATTTGCCATGACAACGCACAGACACTGCTGCCACAAACCATTAATATTTCAGGGCTGAATGAACACAAATACCGTTCTTGTTTATTCCTTGGTCGATTCACATCCTTGTCTCATCACACTGCATCATCTCTCCTCATCCTCGGTGGTTGTAATATGTTCCAATATGATGGAGACTCAATAAGGACAAATTGAAAGTAGCATGGTTCAAGGCTTTCTCACGGTGCATGCAGGTGCCAGTGAGTGCTGCATGAGTGAACCTTTTCTGAATCTGTTTTGTCTCAACGGATGTTAACCTCTTGATCTGACACACAATCTGATCCATTAAAAAAGACTCGAATACATCAATGCAACATGGAACATCTGACCTTAGGTGGGGCACGGCTGCCCCAGTCGTCTAAGGCGCCGCGATTCGCTGTGCAGAGCTACGTCCCCTGGGCACGCCAGAAATATATGATTGTGGGTTCGAATCCCGGTTCGCCCCGATTGTTTCTAGGTTTGTCAGCACCATACTCGTGGGTTTCACCGAAGATGTAAACGTCTGAGACCTGTATCACTTCGGGCCTTCCTCCCACATTAAGCTGACACGTCGTGGTATACTGGAATAATGTTAAAAGCGGTGTTAAACCCAACTCACTCACTCACTCACTCACTCACTCTGACCTTAAGTCATGACAAGAACAAGGTTAACAGGCAATCTGGCACCACATTACGATTCAGAAAGGAAAAAAAGATTGCATGTCGAATGATACCACACAGATTTGGTGTAAGCATTATATCATACATTACTTCACATGTGATGATAAAGGACTCCAACGAGCGACACACAAAGGCTGGAAGACCTGAAGTAACACGTGTCCTAAAACACGGTGCCGTGAGCCTTGGTACAGCGCACAGGTCACAAACCAGGCAAGGTTAAGCAACGTCGGCTGCGGTTACTGAGACATGGATTGGTGACCATGTTCTACAGCTCTACTCCTTTACTCCTGTCTCCTTTACTCCTGTCTCCTTTACTCCTGTCTTCTTTACTCCTGTCTCCTTTACTCCTGTCTTCTTTACTCCTGTCTCCTTTACTCCTGTCTTCTTTACTCCTGTCTCCTTTACTCCTGTCTTCTTTACTCCTGTCTCCTTTACTCCTGTCTCCTTTACTCCTGTCTCCTTTACTCCTGTCTCCTTTACTCCTGTCTCCTTTACGCCTGTCTCTGGGGCATTGGTTCTGCCCAACCCTGAAGCATATGTATCACTTGTGGTGTCACCTTAGGCAAGGGGCCGCCTCCGTGGTCTTGTGGTAGAGCGTCCGCCCGGAGAGCGGAAGGTCCGGGGTTCGATCCCCGGCCGCGTCATACCAAAAGACGTTAAAAGATGGTACTTGTTGTTACCCTGTCTGGCGCTCGGCATTAAGGGGCTAAAACAAGGACTGGTCGGCTCGGAGTCAGTATACTGTGTCCGAGTGGGGTATTCATGTTAAACTGCGGCATGGTATCTCAGTGAGCTAGCACTATAAATCGGCATCAGTCCGGACTAGTACAAGCAGCCACACACACACATACACGTGCATGCACGTCGCTATATAAGTGCAATAATCTTGGACGCGATGTTAAACCCAATTTCACCTCACCTCACCTCACCTTAGGCAAGGGATTTTATTTTAAATATGCCTCTATTCAGACAACCGTGAATGAGCACCCAGTAGGATGAGATAGTTTTGTGACTATAAACCTTCTAGTGGCTCACATACAGCTTGGGTTGTATACTCCCAAGGGAGCTGAGAATTAAATAGAGAGTGAACACGGATACATTGACCGAGGTAATGATAATGCAGCGCTTCGAGATTGCATTGCGGATGGCAGTATGCCCATCACAAGCGGACAATTGTTATTTATTATTAATAATAACTATTAACGCAAGTCTCGTTTTAATCAGCGTTTGGAATGGCAGGTTGATGGCGTCCCTGAATCACATTAAGTTACTGTAATCAACATTCCACAATAGCATATTGCCCCTCACCGATTGTTCGAGGACAAATACTGCGCTGCTGAATGCTGACATAAACACACACAAACCATCCAACCATTTCGCTGAATCAGCTCACATGAATAATGTGAACAAGTACATGATCCTTTGAACATGTTATATGCACTGCATACCTCAACTACACCCATCCACCCGGGCGACCATACACCATCCCACTGTCATTGTCCCGTTTGTTTGTAGCCAGAAGCACGCTCAGACACACGTCCTGCGGCATTTTGGGATGGTCTGCTCCTTGTCGACATCCTCATGAATATTCATAGGACATGCTTTTGAGCTTTAGTTTCTATATTCAGTAGTATATAGTCAGCTGCATTTCTCTTTCTTTGTGAAATAACACAGTTCAGAGAATATATTTCATCCAAAGGATGCAATCAATAGACACGAAACAGACTTGGTGGTTGCTAAGCTGTTCGGCTCACTTCACACGTTGTCAGTGTGACCTTATCTCAGGGGGAGGCCTCGTGAAGGCCTCAGTCAGGTGGAGCGGTGTAAATAAGTCAGGTGATGCCGGAGGAATGAATGCTTCCTCCATAAAATTCTCCAAGCTGATGTATCCATCCCCCTGGGAATGTCCCACTATATGGTTGCAATAGAGTTGCTACGCAATGCTATATTGCAGACCGGTGTTTAATTACTTTCAGAGCGTTTGTTGAATTAATAATCTATAAACGCGAGGCGTTTTTTCGTTTCTATTTTCATGATTTGCACGTAGTTATGTAATCCGGATTGCGTGCAGTGACGATGAAAGAGATCACGTGAGCTCTTGATGGTTGGAATGTCTGTGATCACGTTCCCCTGTTCAAGTCGATACATTTCGTGTTACTGCATCAGTTAGACAGATTACAGCATCAATCACGACTCGCGTAACGCGTGACCATCTATACTGCAGGAGTTGTCTCCCTTGATAGAAATTTTACGGACGGTAAATGTGACAACTCAAAATAAGTGTATAAAGTAATGGAAACTTTATATAATGACTATTTGTTCGGTTTTGTAATGATCGAAATGGCAGAATCATTCATCCTGTAATGAGACCTGATCAAATTAAATGTGAATTCAAGAAGGCTGTATTCAAACAAAGCGTTTTGGCTGCTACTACTGTGGAAGGAATGGGTGCTTACCCCATAGTCCAGATATACAAATAAACCGCAAATATATCCTGAGCTGGGTACCAGTTTGATTAAAGTTATAGTGGCGTCGCATGGTGTACTAGTCTAGTTCTGTGCAGAGTTACCTCCCTGTGCTGTGTCAGGATCCTGTTATTACAGTGTATAATCCAAGATGCGCCCTCCATACCCGTGCTTGTGGCTTTCACAAAAACATTGAACGTTTAAGATCTACATCACCTCCCATATGAAGCTGACATGCCGTGATATAAATATAAGCAATGTTCAAAACGACGATAAACAGCACACTCACTCATTTATTTTCATTGTTTTTCTTAATAGGAGCTGAAGGAGCTGGCAGCCCTGGCGTACCGTGACACCACCGCTGAGAACCGCGAGTTCTGGAAGAATGAGCTGTCACAGGCCATCAGAGACATCCAGAACGAGTACGACGCCAAGTGTGACCAGATCAAGGGAGAAATGGAAGCGTACTACAACCTCAAGGTAACTAACATACTGCAATACACCAAACAGCGAAACCCCGCTAGTACGAAACTATGGAATTCCAGAATGGACATTGTCGCAAAAAGTTACAATATTAACCAAAACGCGACATATTGACCCATTCCCACATCGTCAATAGTCAACTTTTACCTAATGTTGAACAATATTTTAGCAGTCCCAGCCTTTTTGTCTTCATTGTGAGGTTCAGTCGAGCATGTGCTTTCAACAAAGATTTAGAAGAGTGTCATACGACTCTTAGTCAAATGTTACAACAGGCCTCAGTGAAGCTTTCGAAACGTTTTATGGCATTTCCAAATTTGACTCATCACTCACAAAAATTAGCAACCCATGCTTGCAGTAAAAGGTGACTATGCTTGTCGTAAAAGGCGACTAACGGGATCGGGTGGTCAGGCTCGCTGACTTGGTTGATGCATGTCATCGATCCCCATTGCGTGGATCAATGCTCATGATTTTAATCACTGGATTGTCTGGTCCAGACTCGATTATTTACAGACCGCCGTCATATAGCTTGAATATTGCTGAGTGCGGCGTAAAACAACAAACAAACCAACCAACCAACTCACAAAAATGATGTCCGATGCAATTCTCTATTTGATTTGTACTATATAGTCCTGTGTTCAGCTGAACACTTCACATGTCTTTACATGTGTGATTTATTTGATGCATGCTAATGATAAAGTCGGGATCATACAATGGACTCTGCTTTTAACAGAGATTTCTAATGAGTATTGAAAGGGTTTTGTTGCTTTTAATGAATAATACTTTTGAACTTTACAAAAGGGCGACAACGCGACAATGTCTCTTCAGATATTCCCAGGCAATCCCCACTCGGGCTAATATTGTCAGGAACATCTATGTATAATTATTGAGACAAGACTACGTCCCTTTATTTGTTAATCCTCGATCTTACCAGGAATGGGGCTTCAATGTATTTCCTCAAGTAAGATGTCATTGATTAGACAGAACCTGTTCAGGAGGAAGTTTAAATTTGAATCTTTGTTCATAAAATCAAAAGTGACGTAACGCTTAAATATGAACAAACAGACTCTAAAATAGACTTCTGTTAAAGTGTGACTCTATGATCTAGGTCCAGGAGTTCCGCACCGGGGCGACCAAACACAACATGGAGGTCACACACGCCAAGGAGGAATCCAAGAAATACATCAAGCAACTCTCCGACTCCCGTGCCCGGCTTGCGGACCTCGAGGCTAGAGTAAGTAGCTCTTACGTGCATTTTGGAATTGTTTACATGTTAAAAGAACAATATATGAAACACACCAAAGAAGTCGACACATGTATTTCAAAGACCGTACATGTGCAACAGTTACGTGCGCTTCAGATGTCACGAGTGCTACATGTTCTTGAAGTGAATGAGTGTTAAAAGACACCTTACATATTAACCATTTATAAGAGACTTTCAGAAGCAGAAGCATGAAATTATTGTTTCATACTCTGTGGTCTAGTGGTCGAGCGTACGCCCGGAGAGCGGAAGGTCGGGGTTCGATGCCCGGCCGCGTCATACCAAAATACGTTAAAACATTGTACTTGTTGTTACCCTGCCTGGTGCTCGGCATTAAGGGGCTCAAACAAGGACTGGTCGGCTCGGAGTCAGTATACTGTGTCTGAATGGGGTATTCATATGAAACTGCGACATGGTATCTCAGTGGGCTAGCACTATAAATTCGCTATTAGTCCGAACTGTTACAACAGCCACACACACGTGCATGCACGTCGCTATATAAGTGCAATAATCATCAACGCGACGTTAAACCCAATTTTAAACCTTACCTCAAAATGAAACTTAGCGTAACCTTCCATGGTGCCTGAAAACACCACACAACATAACAACAATCTGTCTGTACAACACAACAACACTCAGTCTGTACAACACAACAACAATCTGTACAACACAACAACAATCTGTACAACACAACAACAATCTGTACATCACAACAACAATCTGTATATCACAACAACAATCAGTCTGTACAACACAACAACAACCTGTACAACACAACAACAATCAGTCTGTACAACACAACAACACTCAGTCTGTACAACACAACAACACTCTGTACAACACAACAACAATCAGTCTGTACAACACAACAACACTCAGTCTGTACAACACAACAACAACCTGTACAACACAACAACAATCAGTCTGTACAACACAACAACACTCAGTCTGTACAACACAACAACAATCTGTACAACACAACAACACTCAGTCTGTACAACACAACAACAACCTGTACAACACAACAACAATCTGTACAACACAACAACAACCTGTACAACACAACAACAATCTGTACAACACAACAACACTCTGACTTACAGAACAGCCAGCTGGAGAAGCAGTACCAGGAGCTGCTGAGAGAGATGGAACAGAAGGACCACGACCATGACCTTGAGACCAGCCAGCTGAAGGAGGAGATCACCAAGCTGAGGTCCGAGATGGAGAGCATCCTCCAGGAGCTTCAGACGCTCATGGACGCCAAACTGTCCCTTGAGCTGGAAATCGCTGCCTACAGGAAGCTCTTGGAGGGAGAAGAAACAAGGTGAGAAAAGTTTCAAGAATTGTTCCTTTGATCATCAATAGTTCGTTGAGCCAATGAGCACTTCGAGATGTCTTCTGACTCGAAATTACATTCCGGCATGATATAAAGTATTCATCCTGGCAGCATCTTTTGGCGATACTGAGAATTGCAGCTAAGATGATTTGAAGATAAAGATGAAGCTGTTACCACAGTAGAACGGCTATGGTCATACAAAGTACAAACCGTTTAAAATAATTATTTGTTTTGAAATAAGAAGTTTTGTGGTCTGTAAGAAAGTTGAAAGTGTTTTGAGATTGGTACTTTGTTATCACGTATGAAGACTGATTCTAAGAAAACTTCAATTTGATCATTGGGCAAATTTTTAGAACTTCATATCATCAAAGTAATAAAATTACTTCTTTCATTCTGATCTGAAATTCTGTAATTTTGTTTGAATTTGTCAGCAATTATTACCGCATGTATGAAAAAAGACACACGCATCAGTAAATGTTGTGATATAATTTTATTTACTGTTCGCTTACAATGCATTTTATATCAATTTCAACACTGTAAGTCAAATATTAAATCTAGTGTCAACGTTAGCATGGACATTGTGTGACGAATAATACAGCTGATCTGTGAAATACCTTTAGTTATCGCCCTATCTGTGATACTAATTTCAATATTTATATTTTCTTAGTGTCATTTACAATTGGAAGTAACTGTGGTAAAAGTGAATGCGAGTGTTTACTGGTTCATTTAAAATTAGCTGTCAGATGTTTTCTTTTGCGAATGTGAATGCCGTCGAGGTACATGGTTTGGTTTCAGTTTCTGTATTAGACATACAACTGCCAACCGCAACTACAGTTATTGATATCGGCTGTTGTCAAAAAATTACTGCAAGTGATTTCCTGTTTTAAGTGATATAATAAGTTGATTTTATGTGTCAAGAGAGATATGCATCTGACTCGTTGGTTGTATTTGTCAAGTGATATGATTGGTTTGTTTTTCTTGTCAAGTGATATGATTGGTTGATTTTGAATTTCTAGACAGTATTCCACAGCTGGCGACACGACCACTGCAGGTTAGACCTTGGTTTTCCCTATCAGTGGCAAATATTGCATTGTTTCGTCACATTCCGCGTGGATTTAGTTTTAGATCCTTTTCACTCTGTCAATGCAAAAAGCAACACCCTTTATTATTCAGTTCAGTTGCAGTTTTTTGTGGCCCTTGTCACCTCCAAATTCTGGCATACCCGTCAATTGAACATCAAAATTTTTATTTTTATTAAACCAAAGAATCTCAAAATCCTAATTCGGCTTTTTTAAGCCGGTAAAATGGACTATTTTTTTTACTAATTGACCGGTATGTTAGTCTACCCTGTCAGTGAGTCTTGTTCGTCTGTAGTAGATGGTTGTCTGGAAATTGCTTTTGTTTCTTGATGACCGGTGCAGGCGCATGTAGCGTTCACATGTTTATAAACATCTCAGGGAATACAATGTAAACGGCGTGGAGATTGACACTGAAGGGAAGGTTGTGAGAATCGTGACAACCAGAGTCGAGTCTTCTTCTTCGAGCTCAAGTCGACGCGCACGCTCTCCATCACCGGAGGAGGAGAAGGACCGACTAGAGGAGCCCCAAGGCTTGCCTGATCCTAAACCCGTTGAAGAGAGAGTTGAGGAGGCTAGTGCTTCCCCAAACGAGAGCCAGCCGGGAGAAGGTGGTGGTGACAAATCTCCCGGCGACAAGAAATCGGGTGATAATTAGGGTGTCAGGGTGGTAGGTGGACGTCACATGACCCATGTCACGTGGTCACCTGCATGCACAATATTGCGTCCTAAAATGTTGTCGCTTTTTTTTTAGCTTCAGTCCGCACCGATGAGTTCTGCTGACTATGTTGTGACTTGTGGCTCTTTGGTGTCTCCATTGATTTGTTATCAACTCTTTGCTCAACATTTATTTTGTTTTCATGCACTCTCTATCATGAAGACCATCATCCTACATGAGCTCATCCTCACGGAAATCCCGAGTTTCATCTAGTTCAATGTCGAGCCAGTCTACAACCCAATCAGGGAAGGGGGAAGATGCTAAACCCAAAGTGGAGGACGAGAAACAATCTGGTACTGAGCAGACTGCGTCGTCGTAAACCCAGACCACGAGTCCACAGCTGTGTCCACAATACTAACAAGTGTTCCCCTTCTAATATTGACATATCATTGACATTTGACCATTGACCTTTGACCTTTGTCTCACAGAGTCGGTTTACGGCAAGTCGTGGAGCAAGTTATGAACGTACAAAGTGATAGTTCTTCACGACTGGTTGACTATATCAACGCTGCCCAGTCTGGACATTTTGAAGTTGGGGGTGCGTATTAGACAACACAAGGAGGAGGATTAACCTGGGCTTATGCGCAACTAACAACCAGAAACGTCTTACGCATGTCTTTATCTGAGGAGTGTGGGATAGACACCTGTGCATGGGCATTATCCTTAATATCTTGCTTCCAATTTATCCACAAGTAGAATTTCTTAGACAGTTTGCTTTTGCTTCTCATGACGCCAGCATCTTTTTCTAACGTGCCAATTTTTCCCATCAGTTTTATGATCTCAAAAGCCCAAGCGGAGTGTGTATTTCTTGCCACCTTCTCGCTTAGTAAATGGCGTTAGCAGTGTTGATCGTGCTGCAGGTTAGCTTATCATATGTTTATAAGTATTCAATGTCTTTATTGTTATATGCTTAAAGTTGTGATAAGCTCTTTTGAGCTCATATGCATAACACATCTGTGATGTCCCATCATTCTTATAATACTCAAGGAAAATCTTTACATTTTTGCATAACTATACCTTCGTCATCACCCAGTTTTGGATTTTGTTTATTTTACATCCGCCTTTCAGGCACATTACGATTAAGAATCTCACGTTATTTGTCGGACATGTGTCGCACATATGGTTAGTGATCACTCAATAAATGGCATCAATTTCTCATACACTGCCATCCAATCGCTATTTCTTCTTCTCCTTCCCGTAGATGTAGTTTAACCGGTGAAAATATCATAAAACAACATCTTTGCCTGTAACGTCTGAGTTATTTCCCTTGTTGTCGATATGGTTTCCATGGCAATATCCCCCTAGATTGCTGCGATCTTGGGGAGCTTCTGTAAGCAGCAATTGAAATAAACTAACACCTCTAACATGTTGTTATTTTACAGAGGGAGATGATAGGACGCTCTTAGAAACATTGTTTCTGATAGCGATATATCAATACGAAGGAGAAACATGGATACCATACAAACAAATGGCATCTTTAATATATTACTCAAAAGAAGTTAAGGAACACCCAATGCCATGACAGATTAACTAAAGTCATATAAAACAATTCGGGTGTTCTTTAACTTGTTTTGTGGTCAACATGAAATGAATACTGCAGTGACATCTCGTTACTCGAACTCTGCTTTCTCGATTCCCTTGTTAAATCTGCATCAGCAAGTCTTTTTGCCATAATCCGCTTGTCTCGAACTACGGGTAACCCAATATCTATCCGATCCAGAACTTCGAAGTAACAAAGTTTCTCTGTAGGTGTTATATGTGAAATACTGAGATGAACATAATAAAGACACAAACATGTTTGTCATTTGCTGGTATGGTATTTTCTTGGGCGAGAATGATTGTCATACATTTCATCAAGGTAGCATATTGTATTGAGGTTCTTCCTGATTACCCGTAATTGACAATACGCTGGTGTAAAAATGTTATTTTTTATAAATGGATGCATTCATTCAGTGCGAATGTACCACAATACAAATTCCTTGAGAGATATTTGGCACATTGGTATTATGACTTTTATATAAAAAAATGATTTCGAGAAACCACCAAGTGTTCTTGGTCTAAGAGAATGTCCTCTTCAAAATGCCAGTTTGTGGTTCTTTGTAAAAGGAGGGACTTACTGTAACATTTGTGTTACAGGATAGTTACAGGATACACATTGTTCAACTTTACTCCCAAACCTCCTACTTACACCTAACCCTGGCGATGGACCCATTGATATATATTAATTAATTAATTAGATTTATGTGTTTTATTCACCATTTGCTCATGTCAAACATTAACCACAGTCACTATATTTACACACCCGCAAATTAACAAGGATAATTATATATATACTTTGGTAAGTATTGCATTGAGCTAACCATTTATTTATAGTTATCATAGCCATGAATTATTCTGAAATGAACAACATAAAGTCATGTTTTAATGTAAAACAAAGATAAAAGAGATGATACATGTAATTGTAAGCACATACCATTACAAAAATGATCTAAGTTATGTTTTGATTTAAACATGAATTAATGCTGCATGGTCGTTAATGATAAATAAATTTGATAACAAGTATGTGTGTGAAATATTTTCTATAAATGAAATTGAATTTGTGGACAATGATGAGGTGAGTAAGTTGTATCCATGTTGTCGTTGCCAGGAGATGCATCCCAAGTGTCGATGAAGATGATGCGAGGTGAAGTGTCTGCCAAGACGACGTATCAGCGAACCTCTACTGGCCCCGTCGTAGTCGCCTCAGTCGACCCCGAGGGCAAGTTCATCGTCCTTGAGAACACATCGTCAGGAACATCACGCAGGGTAAATCTAACCTTTCCCATTTCCATCGAGTCCCACGTACATGAACTGTTTGCTATTAAAGCCATACTTGCAGATGTAAAGATTCTGGAAGTTAAGGCTGACAACTATCAGGACAAAAAATCGATTCGGAATTTACTAACGAAGACGATGTGCCTAAAAAAAGTTGACCATTTTAAATAACAAACATTTTGGACATGAAACCTATGATTCACAATATGTCGCCAATAACCAGCCTTGCCTAACCATGAAACGTCTTTATGTACTTAACATGCTACCATTAACTGATAGTGTGACATATACTGAGCAAACGGAAACGGTTAGGAATCATGAATATTTTTGGAGATATGTTCATGAAATTGTGTGTTCGGTCTTCACTACAAAAAGTATCCCCAAAAATATTCATGATCCCTAACTCTTTTTGTTCATCATACATAATAAACTAGAGTTTTGAGACAATGGAAATGGCGTTAGAATGACTTGAATCCCACTTGCTGGGACTGCAATTGTTCCCGAGCCAGGCATATACACAATATAGGGGGGCACGGGTGGCCCAGTCGTCTAAGGCGCCGCGATTCGCTGTGCAGAGTTGCGTCCCTTGGGCACGCCAGAAACCTATGATTGTGGGTTCGAATCCCGGTTCGCCCCGATTATGTTTCTAGGTTTGTCAGCACCATACCCGTGCTCGTGGGTTTCACCGAAGTGGTAAACGTCTGAGACCTGCATCACTTCGGGCTTTCCTCCCACATTAAGCTGACACGCCGCGATATAACTGGAATACTGTTAAAAGCTGCGTTAAACCCAACTCACACACACACACACACAATATAGTTATACGAAATGCACCTGTGAAGATCCGGGGTAGAATAGGTCTTCAGCAACCCATACTTGCCGTAAAAGGCGACTATGCTTGTAGGAGGCAACTATTAAGGAGCTCAAACTACAGCGTGGTATGTAATGTAATATATCAATAAATACAAGCGAAAAAAACCTTTCCATATTTATAAGAAACTTCTACCAAAAGAAGAGTCGAGTGTACAATTCCGACTTTATAATGAGCATGCGTGCACCATCCCCATCAAATAGTGATGACACCAGGTGTTCACGAACCAAGGATGTTTACAGAACGCGAACATTTGATGGGGCTGGTGTTACTTCTTTGAGAGGATTTTACATGTTTGAGCACTTAGTAAGGATAAGACGTATGGATGAACAACTTCTTTATTACAATTAGGAGCGACGTTTCGGTGTCGGTTCTAACATCGTAATCAAGCATCACTTGCTTGATAACGTCGCTGCTAATGGTAATAAAGAAGTTTTAATCCACATATCCTATCCTTACTCGTTGTGTTGTTAAAACAGGTTCCAACAGTTAAGAAGTATGTGTGGATGGATTACCTTCCTTTCATTAATATTGAGCATCCATGTTGTGCGTATATGTATCGGGCTTTACTTTTCTTCAGGATGTCGACCTCGACAGGTACAGACTTGAGAGGGACTTGGACTCCAAGAGAAAACTGTCATACACCTTCAGAAACTTCTCACTGAAGGCCGGGAAACAAGTCAAGGTAATGGACACGTTGAGAAACGTCTATGGCTTGTGTAAGGACCGCAAGGTCCACTATCTCCGTGACCTGAAACCATTGCTCCTAAAGGCACCTGTACTTTGTCAGTGCAACATGTGTCCTGGCTCTTCGGAGTGGTAGCCAGAAACTGCTTGATGCATACATGCATCGTAATGCATTTTATGCTAATATTATTAATATTGTCTTGGTAATAATTGGCAATACAGCTGTTTCTATTATAAGAATGATAAATTTTGTAGAAAATGAACATATAATTATAAAGAAAAACTAGGTTTGGGTAAATATTAATTATATGTGCAATGTATTTTTCTTTTTTCTTTTGTCATTTATTTTACTAAATGTCAATAAGCCGTGTACATTGTTGAAGAGAGCAACCTTATCATATGGAGACAAACATATTTACGAGCTTATCCAATGCCATCGATATAGGCAATTACCTTTCCATGAACGTGTGACACAACAAGCATATATTCAAAAGTATCACCTTTTCTTGTAGATCTGGGCCAAGGGGTCTTCAACGAGCGCCGGTCTGAACGACCTGGTGTTCCGTGACGCCGATACGTGGGGAACAGGATCCAACATCACCACTACCCTCATCAATGAGAAGGGCGAGGTACGTACATGTATTATGGTCAAGACTCCACGTCAGCATGCTGGTTGTCATGACCGAATAACTATTGCAGATAATATACTTCAGGGGTACATTTGTGTCAACGATTGGAACCTGTTTTATACATAATTGTTTTGAGATAAATTACTTTGATTAACACGGCACTGAAATAAGGCTAATATTGAAAACAAGTTACTCCTGTCATTGTTTTCGATTGTTGAAATTACAGCTTTTGTCTGGTTAAATAAAAGCTATTTAACGTCCCGGGGTTCTTACGTTGAAAGGTTTTGCTTCAAAATGATTAAACTTTTTTATAAACAATATCTGTGTAAAAAATCATGTTTAGTGACAAAAGCGAGACCCACTCAACATGGATTGGTCTGTCGACGGCGTGGGGTTTTCAACAGGTATCCCCAAGAATATAATCCGCACTTCCTCTTTGACCCATTGTTAATGTCGGTAGATTTCGTGACCTCTTCTTTTTAAATTCACTCAAATAAATTGTCTTGCAGGAGAAGGCCTGTCACATCCAGAAGACCAACTACTCCTAAACGTTCCCAAGCACTGCCATGTCACGCCACCAGAGGGCGCACCTGTCTAAGCTGTAGTCATCTTCAGCAAAAGCTACCTATCCTCTGTTTATATTGAGTTAGAATATAGCTAGAGATTTCAATTGTTCCAGTCCAGATTAAAAAAACAACATGTGTATGGTAATATCGCCTTTTGAGTATCATCGTGGACTTATTTAATTTCCATGCTTTTGTATCAACCATATTTATGACAATACTCTCCTGAACCATTCTATGTTGATTAGTTGGAAAATACTTTAAGTTTAGAATTTTAGAAAAGCGCATGACGATTATCTACCAGCGCTTGTGTTTACGTCTTTCAGTTCAATACTTTATGTGGTGCTACCGTATCAACTGGATGATTACATTGTGGTTGTGAAACTAACAATCCAAACAATGTATCCCTTGTACATCTTTTGATTCAAATTCTTTGTTCAAAAAGGGTAGATAACTCTGCTTTTATTGTATCTCAGGCGTTTCTTGATGTACCAGATCTGTTTGTAATATATTAAAGATTTTCAAAGAACACATCTTATATACTTTTTGCAAACTATTTTTTCATAATATTTACCATTATATGATATTGTTTTCATCTAGCCTTATGCATTTAAAGAGAATTACAGTTATGTCTAGGCAGCATATCATCTGTAGAATAGAACTAGGGGGGTCCACTCTGATTGACACAAATTCATCACATACACGTACTGTATGGTTTGACAATTACAATTGTCTTAAATGACGGACAATTAAATTCAATATTTAAAATTAAACTTAAATTTAAAATTTAAATTAAAGGTACAGTGAAGTAGCACGGGTGACATCTGCCTAACCGTCTTGGTTCAGAAACTCTTCAGTGTGACCTGTGTCTCCCTCATAAGCTATACAGTGAAAGTACCAATAAACCTATCCAGAACCAATCAGGTAGAATTGTTACCATCGGGTATTGATTGCCATTAAGAAGAAACAGGCCACTACTTCTACCCTAGACAAGACTGCGGTCGTTTATGTGGACATTTGCTTAATTGGAGATACCCTCTCATAGAAACTCTTCTCCAAACCATGGCAGTTTCGCGGAGTAAAGCAAACAGCCCTGGGACTTGGGAACATGGAAGCTCTAACGATGGTGGTTGGTTCGCTTGGACATTGCCTCTGAGAAAGTAATGTCATTTCTTCTTAACATTTTCTTTTAAGATCTTTTCACAATAGCATAATATGTTCCCTAGGAAAATACGATGGAATCTTATACCAATCTTCTTAAAACCTTTACTCCAAATTTGGAAGTCGGATTGTTTTTTTAACTAAACCCGATGTATGTTTCAAACCATTTCTTTGTTGTTATTCTAATGATCTCATAATCTGCTCACGCGTTGTTTACAAGTTGCATTCAATGGCTTGGTTGTCGTTAATTTGAAGTGTTGATGCCTTGTGTTGTGCCCAGATTTGATCTATTAAGCACAAACATGCATTTTAACTCACGCGCAGCTGATGGCGACGAAAGATATTCATTGTCCGAAACAAAAATGCCGAATTTTACATTCGTATTTTCAAATTTTTAAATATTTTGTATTTTTTCATTCTAGCGCCTAAGATGCCTAAAGCTTGTAATATGTACACCTGTTGAAATGTGCATGAATAGTTTGTGTAGAGGTAATGCAAAGACAGCACGCATTCCAATTAAATTTCATTTTAAATTATTTAAATTGAACACTATTTGAACATGGATAATATTATAATAATACATTGTACATTGAAATATTTTAATACTATGATAAAACATTCAAGTGATGCGTGCTGTACGTGTGAATATGGTGATAGTGCACTTTACTAACCCTTGTGAGCTGTTTGTAGATACATCCTATTTCGTACGGCCGTCAGAATATGGCTCTGCCTGCGTGTTCTGTGCACCCTGTCGATATCACGTAAGGCATGTGCCCGTAATGTTATTGTACCTATGCTTTTTAAGCATAATAAACTATTAACAATATATACTCTGTGTTATATATCTTCATATTTTACTGTTTCATGCAGTTATGCACAATCTCATCAATTATATCTTGAACACTGAACCCACTCAACTTAAGGGGGGTATGTTGTATGGAATTGACCAGGCATCTTCGTTGGTCTTTGAACTCTTGTGTTCATTCTATTCACAAGGTATACTCTTCTCGTTTAGCACTACATTACTGCTTGTCATTTCTAATTGTGACATCTAGCCATTGTCCATTGTCTCTAGTAATGAAGTTTTAAAGCAAAGAGTTAGCCTGTCAAAGGCCAAGGGGCACAAAGCTTGTGGCTATCAACGGTGATATACTATACAAAAAAGTTGAAAAATGATGACATTTAGGGAATATGGATTTATAAACCGCACATTTCAAGTGAGACTCTTTTATCTAACGTGCGTGTTATTTAACGCGTGTGTTATATATGAGAATACATTATAAAAGGACACGCTACGCAAATTCAAACTGGACCCAGTATGTGACACACACAACACAGATTTAAAGGGTCAATGGATGGGCGGTGAGTCTGACTACAAATGAATTAAAACGTCTTCCTGGTCTATAATTAATGATGTTGCACATTTGATATTTTTGGATATTTTAGGTACAATTATTTTGAAAACACCCACGACGTTTCTCCATACTGCCGGACAGCCCATGTTCATTCTGGTCGGCATGTTGGGTTCTTGCACAGCACACTTTCCAGACCGAAACCCTGTAATTGCATGATCTACATTGCACACTAATTGAACACTTATACAATATATGATACCTTTTATCATTTATCCTTCTGACTCTAGATATTCACACGTATAATGCGCTGATTGACACTAATTGCACAATGCAAGATATACATATAATATTAATTAAATAAAGTTCGTTGTATCGTTAAGGTATATTGTTGAGTCCCAGCCGAATCCTGACCGATGCTTTGGACACATGTTAACGTTCACATCCCGTTGTCTCGATCTACGGATAAGTTCGAGTGTACGCGTTTTTCGCATCTTACATATTACCTAGCTGCTCACTATACATAACATTAACATAACCACAATCATGATCCTAACTTACGATAAACCGGTACTTATTATTATTATTTTTTTTATTTTTTTTATTTTTTTTATTATTTTTATTATTATTATTCATTTATATACCGCACATATTCAGATACTATATAAAGTATTTGCTCAAATACCTTTTTCCATTTATTAACTTCTAATGTAAGAATTAGGATGCGGAATGTACAGCATTGTGCCAAAACAGCCGGATTTTTTCAAACATATTATTATGGCAATGTACTTATGCCATAAGCGGTGTAAGGGTTCATTTTTTCACAAGCACAGTATTGATATCGTTACGTGTCCCACATCGAAACTATATGTTAACCCAGAAATCTGTACGTGAAATAACCAACAACTAACCAACAAATGGTGTAGAATTAACATTTATATTACACAATTTACTAGGTATACAAATCACCGCAAATAACTACACAGCAATTACAATGGCAGTTAACAATAGAATGGTATTGCAATATTCAATGGCAATATATAATATGAATGCAGTGGCCAGTTTGAAATACACAAATAGAGGTGACAGCATTCAAAGGGCGACGGTGGTCAAACTTCCGAGATCGGCTTCAGCAGGGAATCAGAGATGATGAGTGATCTTCACATGAAAGCTGGATTAGATGTGACCACACACCACACTGACATCTAAATATAGTAAAACCTGACGACTGATCACAATACAATCAGCGTCTGTGGCAACTCAACAGAAACAATGTAACACAGTTACAATCATTTTTCAACAATACAATACACTGTCATATATCATACCCAATGAGGGTACCAGTCTGTCGATTCACTGGTTCCGTGCAACTAGTCATAAGCCTAGTTAAACTGTCTGTGGTAGTTTGAAGTATATTTTGCCATGTCTAGCTGATCGTGTCTTTCCATCTTATAATTTCAGACTGCAACTTCTTAACATTTTATCATGAGCTGCCAGACATTTCCCTAAGTAGATTTTCAATGTAAGAATTAAGACATTTTCAATGGGATTAACATCCGGCGAAGCGACCGGAAAATCCATCACGACAACCTGCTCTCTGCAAACTAACGTTTTGTGAACGTTGACATATGGGGTCGGGCATTGTCCTGCTGTTGCACAAATCGAATGTTATTTTGTCCTGTGGCAGATTATAAGAGCCCTTCCTGACGATTATGTTATTACTTTTGAGCCTGACCATCCGATCCCGATAGTCGCCTCTTACGACAAGCATAGCCGCCTTTTACGGCAGGCATGGGTTGCTGAAGACCTAATCTACCCCGGATCTTCACGGGTTCCTCTACATAAACAACGTGCATCGTGTCAACAAAGGGACGTCACTCTCACAACTTGATAAACTACCTACCACTATAATCATAAAGTGCTTAAGATTCCAATTTTCAAGTCTGACAATAAATATCAAGCTCGACTGTGAAGAGTTTAAATTAATAATTTACTGCATAGATGGGTAAATTTAGATTTTCTTATTTTAAAACAAAATTGTGCTTTGTTAGATGTAAAATGTGCTTTTTTTGGTGTAACCAATTGCTTTTCTGCTACAATGATGGTTTCACCCCTGGTTAGCCTTATTATTTCATTAAGATGTATTCGTTGGGGCAGGTGGTGACTTCGGAACCCATTTCTATCAGAAGAGGAATATTTCTGGGAGATTCCTTTCGTCCTTTGATTTTCTGTTGGTCACCAAATCCTTGAAGCTTTTTGCTAAGCAAAGAGGAAGGTTATCATCCTGGACCTTCTCAGCATATATCCCCGACTACCTATACTCACCGCCTTTACACGGATGACCTTGAACTTGCCAAAGGAGAATCAACTCTAATAAACAGATTCTCATTTTCAAATGATATCAGCATGTCCTTTTGACTCAACAAATGCAACATTGTTCATATGAAACTTTGTAAGGTAGAAGTTTACTTTGGGGAGGAATTATTGACCCCCTTGTGGAAGGTCAGGCCTATACGTACTTAGGGATGCAGATTAGGGACAAACTCCAGAATGCCAATATAAAGGAAAAACTTCGGGCATAGTACAAATGTAGACTTAAGAAAATCAGGAGTTCAGAGCTGAACGCTTGTATTAAAGTCAAAGCCACAAATACGTATGTTGTGCCCGTCCTTTCATATTCTTTTGGTCTTGCTTGGACGAAACAAGAAATTCAAGGTACTGACACCCTCACAACACGAATCGTGTCAGATAATAGATCCCACCCACCTCGCTCTTCCCCAAATCGCTTATATTTACCTATGATAATGGGACGGTGTTGTTTGAATAAGGTGGAGGTTCTCCTGATAGAAGTGTTTTGTGCACTTTTGCACACGTTTTTGTTTAATGATCTTCTTGTGAAGCACGTCAAGACTCGTGATGAAAACAAGGCATTTCACAGTTTTCTGAAACGAGCCAAGGATGTGGGACGCAATCTCAATATCAGTTTTGATTTCGTTGATGGTTCTGTACTGGTGGACGCTACAGAAATGACTGTCAACCAAGTGAAGTGCCATATCAAATCGGCCCAGACTCAGTTTTGTCAAGCAGAGGCTATCTGAACCACTGCATCGGGTTTATGTGAAGTGTGTTGAGAAGGTCAGAAACCCGGCAGAGTCCTTCGGTTGGATGAAGTCGGCTGGCTTGAAAAGTGAAACAGAAAGCGTTCAGTTTGCTGTTCAGGACCAGTCACTTCCCACCTAAACCTTCTTTGCTGCATTCATTTAATTTAATATGTGTAATAATACTAATACTAATAATACTAATAATTAACGCTACATTATCATTACCCCGTGAATGGATCAGTGTGCACTCGATTTTTAATCTCAGCTCCCTAGGGAGTATAAAACTCAAACTGCCTGTGAGGCGCTCATAGGTTTACGATCACATAACCATCTCATCCTAACACATTCGCTCACGTATTCACAAAATCACAACAAAAACAATTCAAGAGTCCTGACCACACCATCCAGTGATTGATATTATGAGCAGCGAACCAAGTCTGACCACCGGTTCATCTTGTCGCTTCTTATGAACAGCATAGGTTCCTGGGGAGCTATTTGATGACCGATTTGATATTAACATTTTTTATTAACATTAAAATACAAATGGATCGGGAAAACGTTGTCGAAACTTACAACGCCTTGAACAGATGTGACGAATGCTGATACATATAATATTGTTATGTATCAACCAGAAATAATTATCACAATATGAACTGTCAGGATCCATAAAAGACCTCCAACTGATAAAGATTGTTACATACTGAAATTCTAATGGCATCATAATAGGGATATTCGAGAAAAGGGGATAGACGTTTTCACACAGACATTTTAAGCATTCTGATAAATTGATTCTAAATAATCTGCAATGAGGCAACTACAGGGACGAGTGTGAATTATATTATATTATATTATATTATAAGGAACAAGGTAAAAAGGACAGTCAGTCAAATGGCAATCCACCTACACCCCCTGGTGTTACATTCTCAGGGAAATATTTCGAAATCGACTTCTTGCAGCTCATCTGCATGCTCGACGGCAATGTGAAACCCTACCGTTGAATGGGCGTCATATGGCAACCCAAAGCCACAGGTGCAGTCAACGTAGATACTTGGCAACAATAACTTGCTTGATACAAGTACCAACACCTGTATAGAACAGCTAGCATCTGTATCTGACTTGTAACTTGTTTGCTACAAGTACTAACACATGTATAGAACAGCTAGCATCTGTTTCTGACTTGTAACTTGTTTGATACAAGTACTTACATCTGTATAGAACAGTTAGCATCTGTATCTGACTTGTAACTTGCTTGATACAAGTACAAACATCTGTATAGAACAGCTGGCATCTGTTTCTGACTTGTAACTTGCTTGATACAAGTACTAACACCTGTATAGAACAGCTAGCATCTGTTTCTGACTTGTAACTTATTTGATACAAGTACTTACATCTGTATAGAACATCTAGCATCTGTATCTGACTTGTAACTTACTTGATACAAGTACAAACATCTGTATAGAACAGCTAGCATCTGTATCTGACTTGTAACTTATTTGATACAAGTACTTACAACTGTATAGAACATCTAGCATCTGTTTCTGACTTGTAACTTGCTTGATACAAGTACTTACATCTGTATAGAACATCTAGCATCTGTATCTGACTTGTAACTTATTTGATACAAGTACTTACATCTGTATAGAACATCTAGCATCTGTATCTGACTTGTAACTTATTTGATACAAGTACTTACATCTGTATAGAACATCTAGCATCTGTATCTGACTTGTAACTTGCTTGATACAAGTACTAACACATGTATAGAACAGTTAGCATCTGTATCTGACTTGTAACTTGTTTGATACAAGTACTTACATCTGTATAGAACATCTAGCATCTGTTTCTGACTTGTAACTTGCTTGATACAAGTACTAACACCTGTATAGAACATCTAGCATCTGTATCTGACTTGTAACTTGCTTGATACAAGTTCTAACACCTGTATAGAACATCTAGCATCTGTTTCTGACTTGTAACTTGTTTGATACAAGTACAAACACATGTATAGAACAGCTAGCATCTGTTTCTGACTTGCAACTTGCTTGCTACAAGTACTAACATCTGTATAGAACAGCTTTGAAATCGATAAGTCATCTCTCGTCATTGTTACTTCTGAAACGCCACTTAAGGATATTGTACAAACTGATAGATGAACCAACTCACTCCGAGAAGAGTGGGCGTGCTAGACCCAGCATGCTTTTAAATGTCAAGTGATATATGCACGACAACAGTTACGAGAAATAGGAGCAAATTGGTTAACATTTTATCAACTCATCAGTGTATATTACTAACGTTATTATCCCCAGTGCAGGAGGCTGGTTACGGAAAGCGAAAAGTCAATCGCGCCCTACTATGTAAACCATTAAGTCATTAAGATAATATTCGTATCTATATACAAAGTTCAAAGATCAAAATAAATTGAAAGCAAAAAGGTTTACAACCAACACTCAAGAAACGCTCTAAGTCTACTTCTGCCAAACTCTTTATGCTAGAATTCCACATATATGCTATTATGGGGAAATCCAGAAGAAAAATAATTCCCAGCATGCCAGCTTCTTGCCACAATGTCTTACCTCTTAACTTACATAGATGTCATCAATGAGGAAGTCCAGCATTTCACATATGGTTTTCTTAGTAAAACTTCAGGTGGCATTTGCTTTCATGTTTAACAAATATTCCTGAACCTCTTAAAATAGATATGTAACTTATCTATGGTCTTCACATTTAGTAAACAAAAGCCTCATGGATCAAGGAATGGAGTTTTTCCTTAAATTTGTTATTCGGGATCACGGAGTAAAAAGTTGAAAAATATAATCTTTTACCAGAATCAAACTTGGTTCTGTTTGGAGATTACACAAATTAAAGCAAATCCATTGAATATTTTTTGAGAAATCCTTTCTTTTAACATCTTCAACCTTAGTCCGGATAAAGAAAGGTAACGATATTTCGAAGTGTGTAAATCCAGGAAGAGAAGTAACTGTAGATTTGGTCCTTGGGTGATGTGAAGTAATTCTTATGCCCAGAAATGGTAGTTTATTCGACTGGAACACTGTAGATGTGTCCTGAATCTGTAAAACCAATCATAATTAGCATAAGCACATTTGCTTTTATGCTGCAAATGGAATCATAAATAACAGTAACCGGTAACACAGATGCCAGTGTAAGCAAGTCAGTATTTAGCCAGCCGCAACTGTGTGTCAAACAGTTGGCAGATAGGAGGTCACTGTGTGTCATACTGTTGGCAGAGAGGTTGTACCTGTTTCAAACAGTTGGCAGATAGGAGGTAAATGTGTGTCAAACTGTTGGCAGAGAGGATGTAACTGTGTGTCATACTGTTGGCAGAGAGGTTGTACCTGTTTCAAACAGTTGGCAGATAGGAGGTAACTGTGTGTCATACTGTTGACAGAGAGGTTGTACCTGTTTCAAACAGTTGGCAGATAGGAAGTCACTGTGTGTCATACTGTTGACAGAGAGGTTGTACCTGTTTCAAACAGTTGGCAGATAGGAGGTAAATGTGTGTCAAACTGTTGGCAGAGAGGATGTAACTGTGTGTCATACTGTTGGCAGAGAGATTGTACCTGTTTCAAACAGTTGGCAGATAGGAGGTAAATGTGTGTAAAACTGTTGGCAGAGAGGATGTAACTGTGTGTCATACTGTTGGCAGAGAGGTTGTACCTATTTCAAACAGTTGGCAGATAGGAGGTAAATGTGTGTCAAACTGTTGGCAGAGAGGATGTAAATGTGTGTCAAACTGTTGGCAGAGAGGATGTAACTGTGTGTCATACTGTTGACAGAGAGGTTGTACCTGTTTCAAACAGTTGGCAGAGAGGATGTAACTGTGTGTCATACTGTTGACAGAGAGGTTGTACCTGTTTCAAACAGTTGGCAGATAGGAGGTAACTGTGTGTCAAACTGTTGACAGAGAGGTTGTAACTGTGTGTCAAACAGTTGGTAGAGAGGTTGTACCTGTGTGTCGTACTGTTGACAGAGACGTTGTAACTGTGTCAAACAGTTGACAGAGAGGTTGTAACTGTGTGTCAAACAGTTGACAGAGAGGTTGTAACTGTGTGTCAAACAGTTGGCAGAGGGGTAGTATGTGTGTGTCACACAGCTTTGTGTGTCATCTAACTCCAATGTTATTTTGTACTTCAACAGAGAAGTTTGTTTGTTTGTTGTTTTTACGCCGAACTCCGCATATATTTCAGCTACATGGCAGCATATTTGGCAGCTGGCAATAATCGATTCTGGGTCAGATAAACCAGTGATTGATATTATGAGCAACGATCCATGTCGTTGGGGTATGATGGCATGCATCAAACGATGACACTGAGTCTGACCACCCGACCCATTCAGTATTCCAGTGGCATGGGTTTCTGGGGATCAAGTCTAACCTTGGATGCCCTCGTTTGGGGAAAAAGCCGTGCTAAGAATGGCCACTTGCTGGCTACGTTAAAGTTATAAGGTAATGTAGTGTATAAACATTACCAGTATATCACACTGAAGGCAAAGACCTGGACTTCACAGAACTGCAGAACATCTTGACTGTTTTGGGTTTTCTTGCCACTAATTCTCAAGTAGCGACCAGTCACAGGTGACGTACAATTTATAGCTTCCGTTTTGCCCGGTTCGGTAACAGCTCCGTTGTACATGAAACACAGCTGAGGCGTGGCGTCGTCATGGGAACGTGGGTCTTCACGGTAAACATCAAGGGCAAAGTCGTGAAGGCGTTCAGCTGCAAATGGAATTGTATATCGGAAGGTCTGCGTGAGTAGGGTTTAATGTGAGGTGTTGTGTGTGGGTGAGGGATGAGGGGTGTGGGTGAGGGATGTGAGGTGTGGGATGAGCGGTTTCGGGCGTGGGTGAGGGATCTAGGGGATGGGGTGTAGGTGAGGGATGTTTGGATGTGGGGTATGGGTGTGGGTGTGGGGTGTGGGGTGTGGGTGTTGGTGAGGGGTGTGGGGTGTGGGGTGTGGGGTGTGGGATGTGAGGTGTGGGTGTGGGGTGTTGGTGAGGGATGTGGGGTGTGGGTGTAGGTGTGGGTGTGGGATGTGAGGTGTGGGTGTGGGGTGTTGGTGTGGGGTGTTGGTGAGGGTGTGGGATGTGAGGTGTGGGATGTGAGGTGTGGGTGTTGGGTGTTGGTGAGGGATGTGGGGTGTGGGTGTTGGTGTGGGTGTGGGTTAGGGATGTGGGGTGTGGGGTGTGGGTGTGGGATGTGAGGTGTGGGTGTGGGGTGTTGGTGAGGGATGTGGGGTGTGGGTGTGGGGTGTCGAGTGTGGGTGTGGATGTGGGGTGTGGATGTAGGGTGTGGGTGAGGGATGTAGGGTGTGGGTGAGGGATGTAGGGTGTGGATGTGGGTGTGGGATGTAGGGTGTGGATGTGGGTGTTGGTTATGGTGTGGGTGTGGGGTGTGGGTGAGGGATGTGTGGGTGTGGGGTGTGGGGTGTGGGGTGTGGGTGAGGGATGTGTGGGTGTGGGGTGTGGGGTTCGGGGTGTGGGGTGTGGGGTGTGGGTTGAGGGGTGTGGGTGAGGGATGTGGGGTGTGGGATGTAGGGTGTGGGTGAGGAATGTGGGGTGTATGGTGTGGGTGAGCGATGTGGGGTGTGGGGTGTGGGTGTGGGGTGTGAGGTTCGGGGTGTGGGGTGTGGGGTGTGGGTTGAGGGGTGTGAGTGAGGGATGTGGGGTGTGGGTGAGGGATGTGTGGTGTGAGTGAGGGATGTGGGGTTTGGGGTTAGGGGTTAGGGGTGTAGGGTGTGGGTGAGAGATGTGTGGTGTGGGTGAGGGATGTGGGTTGTGGTTGAGGGATGTTGGTGGGGGATGTGGAGTGTGGGTGAGGGATGTGGGGAGTGGGGTGTGGGTGTGGGTTAGGGATGTGGGGTGTGGGTGAGGGATGTGGGGTGTGGGTGAGGGATGTGGGGTATGGGTGAGGGATGTGGGCTGTGGGGTGTGGGGTGTAGGGTGTAGGGTGTGGGTGAGGGATGTGGGGTGTGAGTGAGGCATGTGGGGTGTGGGGTGTGGTAGTGGGGTGTGGGGTGTGGGATGTGGGGTGTGGGGTGTAGGGTGTGGGCTTTAAGGAGGGGTGTAGGGTGCGGGTGTGGGTTTAGGGATGTGAGGTGTTGATGAGGTGTGTCGGGTGTGGGATTTGGGGGAGGGGTGTAGGGTGCGGGTGAGGGTTGTGAGGTGTAGGCGAGGGATGTAGGATGTAAGTGTGGGTTGAAGAGTGAGAGGTGTGGGTTGAAGAGTGAGGGGTGTAGGTTGAAGAGTGAGAGGTGGGGTTTGAAAAGTGGGGGGTGTGGATGTGGGATGTGAGATGTGGTGTGCAATGTGTGGGGTGAGGGGTGTGGGTTGAGGGGTGAGGGGTGAAGGGTGTGGGGTGAGGGGTGTTGGTTGAGGGGTGAGGGATGTGGGTTGAAGAGTGAGAGGTGTGGGTTGAAGAGTGTGGGGTGAGGGGTGTGGGGTGAGGGATGAGGGGTGTGGGTTGAGGGGTGAGGGGTGTGGGTTGAAGGGTTGAAGAGTGAGGGGTGTAGGTTGAAAAGTAAGGGGTGTGGATGTGGGATGTGAGATGTGGTGTGCAATGTGTTGGGTGAGGGGTGTGGGTTGAAGAGTAAGGGATGTGGGTTGAAGGGTTGAAGAGTGAGGGGTGTGGGTTGAAGAGTGAGGGGTGTGGGTTGAAGAGTGAGAGGTGTGGGTTGAAAAGTGAGGGGTGTGGATGTGGGATGTGAGATGTGGTGTGCAATGTGTGGGGTGAGGGGTGTGGGTTGAGGGGTGAGGGGTGAAGGGTGTGGGGTGAGGGGTGTTGGTTGAGGGGTGAGGGATGTGGGTTGAAGAGTGAGAGGTGTGGGTTGAAGAGTGTGGGGTGTGGGTGAGGGATGTGGGGTGTGGGGTGTGGGTGAGGGATGTGGGGTGTGGGTGTTGGGTGTTGGGTGTGGGGTGTGGGGTGTGGGGTGAGGGGTGTGGGTGAGGGATGTGGGGTGTGGGTGAGGGATGTGTGGTGTGGATGAGGGATGTGGGGTGTGGGTGAGGGATGTTGGTGGGGGATGTGGGGTGTGGGTGAGGGATGTGGGGTGTGGGTGAGGGATGTGGGGTGTGGGTGAGGGATGTGGGGCGTGGGTGAGGGATGTGGGGTGTGGGTGTGGGGTGTGGGTGAGGGATGTGGGGTGTGGGGTGTGGGTGAGGGATGTGGGTGGTGGGTGAGGGATGTGGGGTGTGGGTGAGGGATGTGGATGGTGGGTGAGGGATGTGGGGTGTGGGTGAGGGATGTGGAGTGTGGGTGTGGGGTGTAGGGTGTTGGTGAGGGATGTGGGGTGTGGGTGAGGGATGTGGGGTGTGGGTGAGGGATGTGGGGTGTGGGTGAGGGATGTGGGGTGAGGGATGTGGGGTGTGGGTGAGGGATGTGGGGTGTGGGTGAGGGATGTGGGGCGTGGGTGAGGGATATGGGGTGTGGGTGTTGGGTGTGGGTGAGGGATGTGGGGTGTGGGGTGTGGGTGAGGGATGTGGGTGGTGGGTGAGGGATGTGGGGTGTGGGTGAGGGATGTGGATGGTGGGTGAGGGATGTGGGGTGTGGGTGAGTTATGTGGGACGTGGGTGAGGGATGTGGGGTGTAGGTGTGGGTGTGGGGTGTGGGTGAGGGATGTGGGGTGTGGTTGTGGGTGTGAGGTGTGGTTGAGGGATGTGGGGTGAGGGATATGGTGTGAGATGTGAGGGGTGTGGATGTGGGATGTGAGATGTGGGGTGAGGGGTGTTGGGTGTGGGTGTGGGATGTGAGGATGTGAGATGTGAGATGTGGTGTGCAATGTGTGGGGTGAGGGGTGTGGGGTGAGGGGTGAGGAGTGAGGGTTGAGGGGTGTGGGATGTAGGACGAAGAGTGTGGGGTGAGAGTTATTTTATGCCGCTTTCAGCAATATTCTATCTGAATGACGGCGGTATGCCAATACTCAAGTCTTGGAAATAAAGACCAGTGGTTGATATTATGAGCACCAAAAACTTCTTCGAGATGCATGACCAAATCGAGCGGCCCGATCACTTGATACAGAGTAGAATCTGCTCGTACAACCAGCACAGACTGCTGTGCCCTCTTCTAACCCTGAAACCCCACGGGAGTTTTCGTGTGCATACCAAATGCATCAAACACATCACAGATAACGATACACGACGCCGGAGATTAAAATCGCTAAAAGGGTGCAAGGTATTATCCAGTGTACATATATCCAGTCTATTACGATAATGATACCATAAAAGCTACGTGACCTCACAACCACCATCGGTCAGATCTCTGACCTCAAGCCATTTGAATGGTAGGTTTTGCTTGCGTGAATCAAACTTACTGGCTGTAGGATATTCATCTTAATGAAATGGAAACACAATGCCCTGGAGAATAGGTTTACGGTGAAGTGAGTATGGAAGGTGAAGAGTCTTACGAGTACTATCTCTGGAGGTCACGCGGACCTCCACAATGATGCACGTGGCCAGCAGATCCACCTGCCACCAAGGCGTGTAATCATTGTTGTCCACAGCAAAGCAGTTTCCAGGGACCCATCGTCCTGACACACGACCATTTGCAGCAGCACTCGGCGGATGTTCCAGACTCCAGACAGAACTTGCAGCTGTTGGCTTCTGAGGTGCAATATTTTGTAAAACGTCCTCTGTGTAAGAAAGGTGCTCGTTAGTCTATTACGTTGAGGTGAAATGGGGTTTAACATCGCGTTGAAGATTATTTCACTTATAAGAGAATGTGTGGATGCTTGTACTAGTGAGGACTATTACCATCTCGAGGCAAGGGAGTTAACTTACTATAAAGTCCAGTTTCTACCCTTTTCGAACAAGGTTGGAATTATGGAGTTATATTTTGGCTGGATTAACGAGTCTACGCACAGTCCAATCAAAATCGCGAAACGAAATCGACATCCGATTCGTAAACTGCCGTGCAGATTTCGGTCGATTGCAGGTTTGGCAAAGCATGTACACCATTAACTCCGCGTCAACAGATATTTTCCAAATCTGTTCATGTTTTAATCAAAGTGCCCACATGATTTGTTGCACTTCGCGAAGTAAGAACCATTTTATCACAATATTGATTTTGATTATCAATTAGATCGTCTTGACTGGGCGCCGCCATTTTGTTTGAAACAAATGCAAGTAATATGACAAGTGGAATGCGATTGGTTAATAGGAGGGGCATAGAAGGGGCATAACTCATTGGTTGTGCTACGATCGAGCAAAGAAACTCCAGCCTAGTTCGGCAAGGGTGGAAACTGGAATCTTACAGTCAGTTAATTCCCTTGCCTCGGGAAGATGGACAAATACCGGTTTTACAGTGTGAGGTCACTGAGATACCATGATTCAATTCAACAGAACAAGGACTGGTCGGCTCGGAGTCAGTATACTGTGTCTGAGTGGGGTATTCATGTTAAACTGCGGCATGGTATCTCAGTGAGCTAGCACTATAAATCGGCGTCAGTCAAGACTAGTACAAGCAGACGCAGACGCAGAGACGCAGAGACGCAGGCACACAGACACACACAGACACACACAGACACACACACAGACACACACAATGACACACACACAAAGTGCAATAAACCCCATTTCACATCACCTCACCGATACATGTTCAGTTAACAATAGCAAACAAGAGTATACATTGTTTCTGTTGTCTCCTTATGACGAATTGGCAAAAAATGTAAATAGTGATTTCTTTACACCTACAACGAGATGGCATTGTATTTAAGGGAGTGAGTAAGTAGACCCAGCTTTGAAAGGTATTTCATAGACTGTCGGCTTAATGCTGGATGAGAACCCGAAGTGATGCAGGTCTCAGTTATGGTGCTGACAAACCATGAATCATGATGAGGGCCAAGATGGGATTCGAACCACGACTATACATGTAGAATGCTGGCATGGCTACTGGACGTAACACTGCAGCTTGGATTGCGGTGCCTTAGCATTAGACCTACATATTGTTTGACGCCGCACTGAATAACATTCCACCAGTATAAAGGCCGCTGTAAATAATCAAGGTGAGGTGAAATGGGGTTTAACGTCGCGTCCAAGATTACTGCACTTATAAAGCGACGTGCATGTACGTGTTTATGTGGCTGCTTGTACTAGTCCGGACTGATGCCGATTTATAGTGCTAGCTCACTGAGATACCATGCCGCAGTTTAACATGAATACCCCACTCAGACACAGTATACTGACTCCGAGCCGACCAGTCCTTGTTTTAGCCCCTTAATGCCGAGCGCCAGACAGGGTAACAACAAGTACCATCTTTTAACGTCTTTTGGTATGACGTGGTCGGGCATCGAACCCCGGATCTTCCGCTCTCCGGGCGGACGCTCTACCACTAGACCATGGAGGCGGTCGTAAATAATCAAGCAAAGACACACTACTGATTGATATTATGACTAACGTCCCCTGCCATCGGGGCGCGACGACACGCAATCAATAAAATGACCAGGTTTGACCACCATTATGTCGCCTCTGATGGCCAGTTTTAGTTGCTGGGACCAAAATTTCATCAGGAATCCACAATATAGAGTTTCAGGTCTAACCTACCGCATTGAACGTCACCGTTTCTTCTGACAACGCATCTTTGGCCGTATCCACACGAGACTCCTTGACATGGAGTAAGTGTAATCTGCGATGAGAATATATAAACATGTCAAACCTGATAAGCTGTCGACAATCAAGGCAACTCAAGCCGCCATACACTTCACCCTAACCAGTGTTTTAACTTATTTTTTTCAGTAACTGCTTCAAAGCGTACAACACCTTTTTTCTAAACGACGAGCTGAATAAATGTTGTTTTAGGACATTCTGGGGATTTATGTTGTTAATAAACCTGAGGCCAAATTTATTTTTGACTCATTTCTATAAATCATATGTTCGGTCCTTACAAATACAAATAAATCGGCCTGTTATGAGTGTTTGTTTGTTTGTATTTGTTTTTGTTTTGTTTAACGCCGAACTCAGCAATATTCCAGCTATATGACGGCGGTCTGTACATAATCGAGTCTGGACTAGACAATCCAGTGATTGACGTCAGGAGCATCGATCCAAGCAACTGGGATACCAAGTCAGCGAGCCTGACCACCCGATCCCGTTAGTCACCTTTTACGAGAAGCATAGTCGCTTTTTACGGCAAGTATGGATTACTGAAGTCCTATTCTAACTCGGATCTTTACGGGTCAACTATTTTGAGTGAGTAAATTTTGTCTGGTTACCGCAGTTAGCACTATTCCATCTGTTGCGCTGTAAACAATGGAATCAAGGCAGGTGACAGTTAGCATGAGCAACAATCAGCGCGAAACAACAAGATCTAATTAAACACGTCACAGACTCTGATCATGCAGTTCTCATTATTTGTCCCGGGGCGGTGGGGTAGCCTAGTGGTTACAGCTTTCACTCGTCAAGCCGAAGACCAGGGTTCGGTTCCCAAAATGGGTACAATGTGTAAAGCCCATTTCTGATGTCCCCCGCCGTGTAACCACACTCACCCACTCAATAGTTGGTCCGTACAGCATGGCTTCTTGGAATAATAATGGTACATCGAAATGCCAAAATGGTTTGGCTATGCTGCGACCTCACTTGACGTGTTCAAATTTCAATTTAAAATGCAGTGAAAGGTTTGGTATAAATGGCTCATTTTGTTAGGATTTGTTTGTGATATTGTAATGCAGAAAGGGTTCAGGAGAATCGTGTTAAAGGCGGTTGCAGCATCTCTACGCCACAATATATGTACGAGATATTTGGAGAGACTGGATTGCCCTTGTGTACTGATATACAACAAGGACTGTTTGATCGTAAATACTTAATGCAGGATTTTAGGTCACTGATTGTTTGATTCCCATGAACAAACACTGAATGCGATGCAAACATTTAAGTGGAACAATGAACGTACTAGATTTCTCTTGTGGTCCATAACTTAAAGCTTCTCAGAGTCGACGTATTGAGCAGCACTCAATATATGTAACAATTGACAATTCAATGCCCCAGAGACAGATGATATGGTACATAAAAAGGTCAAGTAGTGATAAAAGGTAAACTCGGCGGCAAAAGAAAGTATAGGTCGAGTTCCATGATCGATAAAAAAAACAACAAGAAGAGGTTTTGTTGCGAATTATAATATAATCTAGGGAGGGGTAACAAATGATTGATCAACCCCAGTTTGAATGAAATTGTGCAATCACAGGTAATGTAAGCTCAAGGTAAACAATGGTTATTTTCAAAAGTTGCCTGAAATGTCACCAAAAAATTGTCAGACACATTACAGGTTCATTGTCGACACAGCTGCCTCAATGCATGCTGTGATACGCCGCCTCATCGATGACGTCGGTCTTCTGATGACGTGTACTGAATCCGTTCCACTCGGGTCTCAGGGCCTGCTGCAATTCTTGTCTGTTGACGGGAGGCTGATGGCGTGCTCTAATCTGTCTGTCAAGATGGACCCACAGATGTTCAATAGGATTCACATCGGGTGAGTGGGCAGGCCAGGGCAAAACGTCAACGTTGTGCTGGTTTAGAAAATTCCGAGTCAGTCTTGCAGTTTGGGGCCTGGCATTGTCGTGTTGAAACAATGTCCCCTGCTGTTGGTTTTGTAAGAACGGAAGCACAACTGGCTGCAACACTTGGTCTCTGTATTGCAAAGCGTTCAGGTTTCCCTGTATAATCACCAAATCAGGTTTCTGATCTCCACAAATACCACCCCACACCGTGACACCTCCCCCGCCGAATGGATGGACCTCTCGAATACACGACGTTCCCCTCTGCGTCGATAAACTCGTTCTCTGTCGTCATTTCGAAACAAGTTAAACCGACTTTCATCAGTCAACAGCACTCGACGCCAATTTCTCACTTGCCAGCGTCGAATCTGCCTCGCCCATCGCAGTCTCAGGCGTCGATGTTGAGCAGTCAGTGCCATTCCTCGGAAAGGACGATACGCTCGGATTCCAGCAGCACGAAGTCGTCGTAGTACTGTGCGTTGGCTAACGGGATGTCCCAACGCTGTTGCTGTCGTCGCCGTTACGAATCTGTTTCGCAGGTGAATGAGCCGTACCTTACCGTCTTCCAGTTTATGCCATAGGCGGGAAACCTGTTTCACCATTTTCTTTGGCCGTACAAGGTAGCGCGTTCGGTTTGAGGTTAATTTGGTACCTGTTCCTGGGCAGTCATATTCCCAATACCCACTTTCCACTAGTTATCGCTGTTTTTAGGAAAATTACAAATTGCCAACCTATACTTTCTTCTGACGCTTACTTTATATGAAAGGAGTACTGAAAATCGGCAAAGACACGAGGTGTTTGAGTGAGTGAGTGAGTTGGGTTTAAAGCCGCTTTTAACATTATTCCAGTTATATCGCGGCGTGTCAGCTTAATGTGGGAGGAAAGCCCGAAGTGATGGAGGTCTCAGACGTTTACCACTTCGGTGAAACCCACGAGCACGGGTATGGTGCTGACAAACCTAGAAAAATAATTGGGGCGAACCCGGTTTCGAATCCACAATCATGGGTTTCTGGCGTGCCCAAGGGACGCAACTCCGCACAGCGAATCGCGGCGCCTTAGACGACTGGGCCACCCGTGCCCCCCAGGTGTTTGAGAAAAGGGAAGAATGTCCTGCTCTACATAAAATACATGTACATAATGTTTTAAAGGACAGTACAAAAACATATATAATGTTTTAAGGTTAGGAAAACAATGCGACAAAAACAAGCGACAGGCCTTTGTATGTTTGAAACCTTTCAAGCAAATTGGCATCAACTTGTCTTGTTTTACAAACATTCATATTGAAGAGGTCGATATTGACACAGGTTTAGCCAGGACACGCGTCTCTCTCTCTCTCTCTCTCTCTCTCTCTCTCTCTCTCTCTCTCTCTCTCTCTCTCTCTCTCTCTCTCTTTTGTCGTCCATTTGTTTTCAGCTTTCAAATATTTAGCATGACATGTCCCAAGTAACTTGAGGAATCGATAGCGTCTACTTTCAAGTGCAATAGTGCTTGAAATCCCTTCAATAATCAATACACTTTACAAGTGAGGTTCAGACTGTATTTGTACCTGGTACCATCTTACTGGTCGCCATGCCGATACTGACAATGGTATCCATCTCAACTCACATCACTCAGACCAAAGATTTATAAATGGGTGATGAGGTACAGAGCGATTTGAAATGTAAATATTAACAACAGGTTGTAAAGTCGTAAAGTAGTTCCAGAATCCAAACGAACATTTGAATATTCAGTGACTGGAACATATCGGACTTAAGAAAGAAGTTTCATTCAGATTCTTGAGATTTGGATCCTTTAGAATTGTCTTGGTGGTGAATTTCAATCCAAATGCTTTGAAAAACGTATTATGTCATGGAGATCTAAATACTATTTGGGGGAAAGACATTTAGGCAAGATGTCGGCATCCCCATGGGAACCAATTGTGTTCCCCATCATATATACATAACAATAGATAGATGTTTATATAACAGATAAGGTTGATGTACACTGATTGATAGGTAGTTATGATAAACAAGTTTATAAAAGAGATAGGGTTGATGTACAGTGATTGATGGGTATGGGATTAACACAAGGATTACTAAGAAGGATGAACAGTGATTGATGGGTATGCTCATACCTAGTTTGTACATCATTTGCTTGATAACGGTGTTAGAATCTACACCAAAACGTCGCCCAATTGTAATAAAGAAGTTGCTCATCCATAACAATTTTGTCCTAGTTACCATTCCAACTTCTAAATGCCACTCAAAGAAGTTATTTGGTGAAGACGTTTTACTCAAGCTTCAGGTATATCGATGATCTGATATCGATCAATAACCACCAAATAGCCAATTCCCTTCCACTGATTTACCCACCAGAGCTAGAGACAAAGGAGACCGGTTTCATATTCCGATCAATGCATAAAGATTCAGAGTGACAAAACGCTCCCCACAAGACTGTAAGACAATAGGGATGACTTCAACATCCCAGTAGTCAACGTTCCCTTCATGTTGACCAATATTCCTCAAGCTCCAGCTCCAGCCTGTGGTGCCGTGACACACATTATGTTGAATATTTTAATAACACTGCTCTTAATTATTTATCACGACAAACGTATTTCGTTCTCGTCCAGAGAATACAAGCGCAGGATGAATTTGTGTGTGTTAGACTGGAATGAAAACATAGATCGGGGACATTCCACAGTGACATTTTATGAAGATCATCACCGAAGACGAAATAGCAGAAAGGTTTTGAAACCAAAGTCGTACGCGTTTGTTGAGAAGTCGTGGAATAGTTTGATGAATATTTATTACCATTAATGGTGAGTGTGTCATTGCACAAACTTACGTCATTGTTGCCACGTGGGTGGGTGTTTACATATCATGTCGCCGTTTACGTATTAACCAATGAAATGTGTGTGTTATTAATGACGTCATATTGACCTGTCATATCACTCGTATAAGCTCCGCCAACTAGGTCTTTTGAAATTATCATTTGGTATTCTTACTAGAAGATATTCCCTAACATTTAAAACTTGTATGTATTAATCAAGTGGTTTAATCATACTGGTGTTAACATACACATAAATAGGTGTTTTGATGGTTATTTTTCTTATTATTTTGTACTAAAAAAAGTCAGCCATTTGGTAACTAGCGATCTTAATATGCACATATAACGTTAAAATATGGCGTCCAACAAAATTGACAGTTCCTTGGCTGCTGGAATAAGAAAAGATGATGGTACAATGTAAGAAAAAAGCTTACAATGTTTTACTTGGATACTTTTATACATGTTTTAATGTACATACGATGTCTCATAAGCCTGTGAAGGCTGGGTGCAATACCGATGATAATTGTTGTTTTTTGTTTTTATGCAGTATGTATATGTTATTTGCACGTGACATCTTAATAAAATACTCTCTCTCTCTCTCTCTCTCTCTCTCTCTCTCTCTCTCTCTCTCTCTCTCTCTCTCTCTCTCTCTCTCACTCTCTCTCTCTCTCTCTCTATATATATATATATATATTCCTGAAACTCCAGCTTTTGATGTTTACAATTCACAAGTTTTGATGTACAATGGAGCATGCATTAGACTCTTACTCACAGTCAAGGCCTCAGTGAAGCCTTCAACAAGATTAATGGTAGACATGTGGAGTAGAATTCTACATTTTACGTATCGATGACAAAAATAATACCCGATGCAGTTCCAAATGTTGACATGAACCATATGTTCCAGTGTTCTTTTGGTTGACTTGCCTTTGCATGTGTTTGTGACGGTGCCACCGGTGGGGCAGGACACGCTCACCTTTGTACGAACACCTGGTACAATCAAGCATTCTCTTTCTACGAGGTTTTCAAAGAGTCTTGCTATAAACCTGTTTGATCAGGGTTTCAAAATTTCACGCGTCAGTGAACAAAAGGAGGTTTGATGCTGAGGGAGACGTTTGTCAATTCATCTTCCCTTCACTCACCCGCGAGGTGCAATCTTAAACTGACAGCGCATGTGTTTGCGGTGCGTCGAGATATCGCACCTATAGACAGTTAACCAGTATTGGCTTCACCTCAGCAACGTTCAAGTTGGAGTATGGACACTATCTTTTCACCTAAACAGTTATCTATCTCTTGTCATGTCCTGAAATATATGTTCCGTCATCCAATGATGCATCAGGGATGACGACCACTGCTTATAGTTTTATAGTAAACCTCTAGATTGCCCTTCGAAGCAAGACGGTGACATCAGCTGATCGTTCATTCCAGGCTACTTTTTGGACGTTTTGCAATCCGCACTGAAAGTGATGCCTTTGATGTTTGAATATCACACTTATAAAAATGGATGAGGCTGTAGGTATACCGAGAGGCCATGCAATTACTGTTGCATTTATTTTTACAATAAAACACGCCACAATATATGTGAGAGATATTTGGAGAGACTGGATTGCCCTAGTGTACTGATATACAAAGAGGACTGCTTGGCTTTGTGAAGGTCTCATGTAGCGTAAAGTTCCTTTGTAAATATTGTGAATTTTGACAGCAAAATAATTGTGTGTCAGGTATATAACTGAGAAATTGTTAAAGAAACAGGGAAATTATGCCATCAAATAGATTTCATAAGACAATGTTCAAGATTTAAGAACTAGAAATCACTGAAATCCATTTTGATATTTATGAGGGTTAATAAGTGCATGATGTATACCAAAGATTTTATAGATGAATGCGGCTGTTTGTTGAGAATTACTACCATGATTACATACATTTCAATTATAATAAAACATATAGACATTATTAATGTATGTATTTATCATTATATATATATATAAAGTTCTAACTCCCAGGCACAATATAGTAATAATTAAATAAGTGGCGTAAGATTGGCTAACAGTTTAAATTGGCTAGCGCTTTCAACTCGTATAACTGAATAGCGGACATGAAGTTTTAAGATATAGTTACGTGACCTTATGACATTACCTTAAGACACAAAATATTTAATCTGAAACGAGAACAAAATATGGACATATTTCTGCTCAGGACATCAAGTGACCAATTTATTTTTTTCAAACCTACAGCAAAATATATTTATCCCGGACTTACAGACTAATTTATGATTGTTTTGTTTGGACATTATATATACCTTGGAGTTATATGTTTTGGTTGAAAGTTTCAATTTCTGGCAATATTTCCCGACATTAGTCAGCAATAAATTATTAATTAATGTTGAAGACCAGCCTAGATGTCGAAATATGGTCAACGTCATGAAATTTTTATGTCCTAGGATTGCTATCTTAGACAATATTCTCACAGCATCAGTGTAACGGGTGAGAACAAGGTCACTTGGTAGACAGCATATTGTCCTGTGGATTGTATCTTTCCTACTTGTGCTAGACAGGATATGTCTACTATTACGTTCTAGAAATTCCACACATATTCTGTATGATCGTGACTATTTGGCAATTTATACCAAATGCTATCAATTTTAACAATAGAGTCCTATACTGTATCAACAGCGTTAACAAAATCGATAAAACACAAAAGCGTACGTTTCTGTTTTCTGAGTAGGCATAATTTATGGACAACAACTTCTTTGGTTAGCCATTAATTCTGTCTACTTTGTCATCAGTTTCTGTTTCGTTTCAATAATTGATACAGCATATATCGAGTATGGTCTAACGCCGCTTTTGGCAATAATGCAGCACTATGACGGAGGGATACACAAGGGCTTCACACATGTTGTGCCCCATAATTGTGATACGAGTACATGCAGTCAGCCAAGTCACCGAGCCAAGTTAAGTCCCGTCTTACGCTCATCATGGGTTGATGGGGACTTAGTGTAGTACGTTTAGGGACTAGTCGAGGGTATAGTAAACTATTCAGGTGAGGGAGCGGAGAACGAGATGACCAGGGGTACTGGTCCAGGGTATAGTTAACTAGTCCGGGGTGGGACCGGAGAACGAGATGACCAGGGGTACTGGTCCAGGGTGGAGCTAACCATTCCGGGAGGTAGCGGAGAACGATATGACCAGGGGTACTGGTCTAGGGTGTAGTTAACTACTCCGGGCAGGGAGCGGAGAACGAGATGACCAGGGGTAGTAGTCTGGGGTCTAGCTGACTATTCCGGGGTGGGACCGGAGAACGAGATGACCAGAGGTACTGGTCCAGGGTGGAGCTAACTATTCAGGGGAGGGAGCGGAGAACGTGATGACCAGGGGAACTGGTCTAGGGTGTAGCTAACCCACCGGGAGGGAGCGGAGAACGAGATGACCAGGGGTACTGGTCTGGGGTGTAGCTAACTATTCAGGGGAGGGAGCGGAGAACGAGATGACCAGAGGTACTGGTCCAGGGTGGAGCTAACTATTCCCGGGAAGGAGCGGAGAACGAGATGACCAGGGGTACTGGTCCAGGGTGGAGCTAACTATTCCCGGGAAGGAGCGGAGAACGAGATGACCAGGGGTACTGGTCCAGGGTGGAGCTAACTATTCAGGGGAGGGAGCGGAGAACGAGATGACCAGGGGTACTGGTCCAGGGTGGAGCCAACTATTCCGGGGAGGGAGCGCAGAACGAGATGACCAGGGGTACTGGTCCAGGGTGTAGTTAACTACTCCGGGCAGGGAGCGGAGAACGAGATGACCAGGGGTAGTAGTCTGGGGTCTAGCTGACTATTCCGGGGTGGGACCGGAGAACGAGATGACCAGGGGAACTGGTCTAGGGTGTAGCTAACCATTACGGGAGGGGGCGGGGAACTAGACATCCAGGGGAACTGGTCTAGGATGTAGCTAACTATTCCGGGAGGGAGCGGGCAACTAGACATCCAGGGGAACTGATCCAGGGTGTAGCTAACCATTCCGGGAGGGAGCGGAGAACGAGATGACCAGGGGAACTGGTCTGGGGTGTAGCTAACCATTCCGGGAGGGAGCGGAGAACGAGATGACCAGGGGAACTGATCCAGGGTGTAGCTAACCATTCCGGGAGGGAGCGGAGAACGAGATGACCAGGGGAACTGGTCCAGGGTGTAGCTAACCATTCCGGGAGGGAGCGGAGAACGAGATGACCAGGGGAACTGGTCTAGGGTGTAGCTAACTATTCCGGGAGGGAGCGGAGAACGAGATGACCAGGGGAACTGGTCCAGGGTGTAGCTAACCATTCAGGGAGGGAGCGGAGAACGAGATGACCAGGGGAACTGGTCTAGGGTGTAGCTAACTATTCCGGGAGGGAGCGGAGAACGAGATGACCAGGGGAACTGGTCTAGGGTGTAGCTAACTATTCCGGGAGGGAGCGGGGAACTAGACATCCAGGGGAACTGGTCTAGGGTATGACTATTCAGGAGAATGGCGTGGAGCGTGAGGTGACCAGGGTTACTTAACCAGGATATATCTGGAGAAAGCGTGGATATATATGGTCACAGGTTCTTGAGTCACGGGTATATGTGTAACTAGCCCGGGGACACTCTTCCCTTGTAAAATCTCAAAATATTGAGCCAAAGAATGCGACAAATTAGCAAGTGGATCTCTCAAAATAAGAGAAAATGCTACACAGTGTAAAATTTGAATTTTGTCTTGTGTAGATTTCAAACAAGTACCGATCCGTTTCCACACCCAACTTATTTCGTTTTATTTCATCATTTGACATTTGATTCTAAAATGTATGAGGAATTCAGGGATGTATGTTGCTGAGCTGAGCTATGGTGGAACCTTCACTTCGGCGTTCATGTTTTGGTATTTTCCGAAACATTCTAAAAGAGGCAGGTGGAGCTGCTAAAGAAACGATTACCTTGTCGTATGGGGCACATTATATCAAGCCATATAATCTAGTAATCTAAAATGATGAGGACCGACCACTTGATGTTCTGGAATGTTGGTAAGAGACAAAATATGTTTTCGACAACCTTTTTATCTCCACTGCAAGAGGGGTTCCATAAAATGCTGTTTTTACAACACGTTATTTTCAGAACACTCAGCGAACTTTGCTGTGTGTAAAACCTGAAGCAAATTATTTTCCTCGCATTTTCGTAACGAAACTACATTTAAACATCCCATTCTCTCCCCAAACTAAAATTCTAAACGGAAGGAACTCTTATTTTAGGTCTTTTTTGCCAACTTACCTCATTCCAGGGAGTAATTCTACTGTATATGAATGCCGATGTATTCCGTTGGTTTTCCTCGAAGGTTACATCGTCTTGTTGGTTGAGATGGCATGTGTGTCGGTCCAAGTCCAAGTTGAAAGACTTGCAGACCCTATATGAAGCACATTCAGTAGCACATGAGAACAAGTTAGATTTCTCAACCACCTTGAAAGTCGACCCTTCCTGGCGTTTTCCGTACTGAAGCATGTCAAGCGTACAGGCACTTGTTAAATACATGCACAGGCCGTTGACCACATGAACTAAGTAATTGATGTCATAAAAGAAATTGTACATTTTTCGTCTAGTCCGAAGCTTACTTTGTATGTGTTGTGAGCACTTCACAAGTTACAGCGCAACTGTTCACTGTGCCGCACACGACAGTATGTTGGTGATGTCAGAAGTAGAACCATGATAATGTGTTATTCATGTGTTATTGATCGACGCTGTCCTTTCTCTGTGGCTTGTCGGGATGAAATGCAAAACGCCCTTTCACGTCACACAACATTCTCAACCCAGAAGGTCAGGTACATTGGTGTTGTCCGGTATTGGAAATATCATATTCAGTATGTATAAACGTCAATTGTTAAATTGAATTTCGAGTGTATGGCGAGATATTTCGTGGGGCGGTTGCGAGTTGGCGGTTATTCCATTCATTTAATAACAAGGGTGTCATCCCATTCATCATCTTTCTCCATATAACAAGGTTTCCTTGAGTACATCATAACAATCTCTATTTCTCTGGACTAGTACCCCTGGTCTTCTGGATCTCCAAACCCTTCCCCGTTGTAGTTAGATATAGTTAGATAGTACCTATTCTAGTTAGAATTGAGTCACGACTTAATAGACCAGGCGGTGATACTCTGTGACCTGGCCGATAGCATGTCACCGTTTCCCTATTGCGGGGATCAAAACATATCATATCATTTGCTGGATTGTCTTGTCCAGATCTAGATTCTGTTGTTCAACGCCGTCATTTAGCTCGACATGTTATGCCCTGTCTCGGGTGGTAAGGTAGCCTTGTGGTTCATGGGCGGGCTGGATTCCCCCCCACCCCCCCACCCCCACCCCAAAAAAACCGAACGAATGTTGTGCTTTTCTAAATACAAAGTTTAATACTGTTTAGCGCTCGAATCTGTTGCTGAAATGGTTAGAATTGGCAATTAAACTATTCACGATTATGCAAATAGCAATGGACAAGCTTTCTGTATCACAAGGAACAAATAACATAGTTTATAGGAGCAGATTGCCTTTGCTTTCTACGTTATTGCCCATGCTTCTTAACCGTCGCACAGAAGCTGGGAGGTATTAATCTCAGATATCAAACTGAGGATTTTAACTTATTGATATGTGATAAACAATATGATCGATATTTTAGGTACGCGCTGAACTACAATCACTTTCAACATAAATATTGCAAGAGATAGAAACTATCAACCTAGACGGAAGACGCCAGGGTATTCTCGTTTGATGCAGACAACACATTAGTTATTTAGTCTGTAAGACTGGAGTCAGACTGGGTGTATTTTAAAATATTTAAATACTTCAGAAAAAACTGAAAATGTTGAGCTTGCCTCAAGTTTACAAACATGTAATTGATCAGTGAATGATTACAAGATAAAATAGTACAAAGATAACACACACACACACAACACACACACATACAACACACACACACACACACACACACACACACACACAACACACACACACAACACAACACAAACACACACACACACACACTTCTATTTAGCTAACCATGCACTTTAGATGTACCTACTAGCCATAACATCGCTATGGCAACCGATGTGTGAGCAGCAGGTACACATGTCATCTCGACTCTAAACTCCCCGTGTCAAGTGTATTGATTTTGTTATGAAAAAGAAACATTAAATATGACAAATGTCACACTTTTTATTTGAAAGCTGTAAATGAAGCCCATCTTGGATATCATACCACTTCACCTGGGGCACAGGCACCACGTGCAAGATGACACACACACACTTCCTTACCATTAAAGGATTCGTGATAAATTTTAGGCTTTATCGGAAGGAAAGAACGACAAAAGCTGAACCGTATTAATGCTTACCTCATATCGTTGTACATTTTTATTATTAATGATCTAATGCTATCTTCAAACGACCTTTTGTGGATATTATTTTGTCACGTTGAATCTTTATGAATAGATCAAATTGTGAAACAAATGATGGGGTTTCATTATCCTCCTTTATTTCTAACTCACGTTGGTAAATCAGTAGAATGGAATTGGCTATTTCACCATTATTGAATGAGTGAGTGAGTGGGGGTTAACGCCGCTTTGATTATTCCAGTTATATCACGGCGTGTCAGCTTAATGTGGGAGGAAAGCCAGAAGTGATGAAGGTCTCGGGCGTTTACCACATAGGTGAAACCCACGAGCACGGGTATGGTGCTGACAAACCTAGAAACATAATCGGGGCGAACCGAGATTCGAACCCACAATCATAGGTTTCTGGCGTGTCCAAGGGACGCAACTCTGCACAGCGAATCGCGGCGCCTTAGACGACTCGGTCACCCGCGCCCCCTCACAATTATTGAACGAAATAAGATCATCGATATACCTGAATATTAAGTTAACTTTATGGTCAAATTGTCCTGTTTCGAGTCGGCCAATCCCAAACAAGCATTGGAGCACAATTGGTGCCCATGGGGATGCCTCCTTCTTGCCTAAATGTCCTATGTCACATTGACGTATTTCACATATTGGTTTCTCAATAAACATCAGATGACAAATGCTTCCATTCTTGACAAATTGTCCTGAACCTTATAAGAAAAAGAGCTAACTGTATCTTTGGTCACCAAGTTCATATTCAAATGTCCTGTGAACGTTTACGTGTTGGATAATGATGTACCAAGTTGAAAAACCAAACGTTTTGACATAATTGAACTTGGTTCTTTTCTAAGATTGCAAAAGTCCCTCAGATTTAAAAAGCATACACACAAGAACCTACATTGTTGTTTCACTGGGAGGGGATTCATTTTCCGGGAAGGGGAGGAGGTATTTTGGTTTGAGATCAGCATTTTCAGGAGCTCAATTATTTTTTAGAGTTTGCAAGATGTTCTGATAATTATGTAATTGTCTCAGCAAGTAAGCAGCTGTGATAATAGCATTACAATAAAGTTTCTTAATCTTGCAAGAAGCTAAGAATTCCAAAGGATAAACTGGTGGAACTCCTGCGCCTAATGACACTAAATAACACAACTCTGCGTTGTCCAAGGCCAGATTACCCTTAGATTGTCGGTGGGAACTGTGGTAGTCAAAGACTTGTACGTGTCTTGAACCTTTATTAGTACGAATAATAGTAGTTTGGCGACATGGCCAAGGTAAAGAAGGTAACCTATGTGGAATGTCAAAACCAGCATCTCTAGTATTTATAGTTTCTACTGCAACACATCTGTTCTCACTCTTGAGGGAAAGGGAACAATTATCCCAAACTATCATTGCATTTTAAGTCGAAAATCCTAACAATTATTACTTGTATTGATCCCAAGGACCCGTGCTCTCAGGAAGGGCCACCCGTGAGGGTCGGTTCATGAGGATCGGAGTCATGAGTGTCGGCGTCATAAGGGTCGGTGTCATGAGGGTCGGTGTCATGAAGGTCGGTGTCATGAAGGTCGTGTCATGAGGGTCGGTGTCATGAGGGTCGGTGTCATGAAGGTCGTGTCATGAGGGTCGGTGTCATGAGGGTCGTGTCATGAGGGTCGGTGTCATGAAGGTCGTGTCATGAGGGTCGGTGTCATGAAGGTCGTGTCATGAGGGTCGGTGTCATGAGGGTCGTGTCATGAGGGTCGGTGTCATGAAGGTCGTGTCATGAAGGTCGTGTCATGAGGGTCGGTGTCATGAGGGTCGGTGTCATGAAGGTCGTGTCATGAGGGTCGGTGTCATGAGGGTCGTGTCATGAGGGTCGGTGTCATGAGGGTCGTGTCATGGAGGTCGTGTCATGAGGGTCATGTCATGAGGGTCGGTGTCATGAAGGTCGGTGTCATGAAGGTCGTGTCATGAAGGTCGTGTCATGAAGGTCGTGTCATGAAGGTCGTGTCATGAGGGTCGTGTCATGAAGGTCGTGTCATGAAGGTCGTGTCATGAAGGTCGTGTCATGAGGGTCGTGTCATGAAGGTCGTGTCATGAAGGTCGTGTCATGAAGGTCGTGTCATGAAGGTCGTGTCATGAAGGTCGTGTCATGAGGGTCGGTGTCATGAGGGTCGGTGTCATGAGGGTCGTGTCATGAGGGTCGGTGTCATGAGGGTCGGTGTCATGAGGGTCGTGTCATGAGGGTCGGTTTCATAAGGGTCGTGTCATGAGGGTCGGTGACATGAAGGTCGTGTCATGAGGGTCGGTGTCATGAAGGTCGTGCCATGAGGGTCGGTTTCATAATGGTCGTTTAATGAAGGTCGGTATCTTGAGGGTCGGTGTCATGAGGGTCGGTGTCATGAAGGTCGTGTCATGAAGGTCGGTTTCATGATGGTGGTGTCATGAGGCATGACTTCGGGCTTTCCTCCCACATTAAGCTGACTAACGCCGTGATATAACTGGAATAATGTTAAAAGGGGCGTTAAACCCAACTCACTCACTCGCTCGCTCGCTTACAAAGTGTCCGCGAAAAGATGAGCTTTCGGTGTGAAATTAAAAATATATAATTTTTCTGAATAACTTCAGGTTAACATCACGTCGTCATTGTGCTGTATAGTGGGTATTTCTCACGTGACACAATATTAATAGTTTGTTTACAGAAAATCTTCGTCATGAAGCTCAGTAATAGTCTCTCTCTCTCTCTCTCTCTCTCTCTCTCTCTCTCTCTCTCTCTCTCTCTCTCTCTCTCTCTCTCTCCCTATCTCCCTCTCTCTCTCTCTCCCTATCTCTCTCTCTCCCTCTCTCTCTCCCTATCTCTCTCTCTCTCTCCCTCTCTCCCTCTCTCTCTCTCCCTCTCCCTCTCTCTCTCAAATGTATACAATTCCAATCAGTAGAGAAGATGTGGATTATGCCATACACAGAGCAAAAATTTGGAAAGCAACGAAAATTGACAGTATACCAAGTGTTGTCCTGGAGGATGAAGTTTGTGCAAAACTACCATACAGAGTTATCTCCCATAGCTTCGAGACGGGAAGCGTTCCTAGTATCTGTAATAAAGGCAGGATTAAACCCTCCCCTCAGGAAGCTCAGGGCAGTGATGTGTGTGACCCACTGAGCTACAGGCCCCTCACTACAATCTCGATCACACACACGATTGATGCTGTTGACCAACAGAACGGATTCAGTTAATGCCTACACTCAGAACTTATAAACTGTTTAAGTCAGAATTATTCACTGAACCCTACGCTCAACTACCACGCCATAAGACCCGTGA